TTATGACAAATGATACGATATATTAATCAGGCGTACGATAACTCTTCTCTAACATATCCGAAGTTAGAAAATAAAATAAATACGCACCTAAAGAAATAAAGCAAAAAAAATAAGCAACTGTCTTTAGAACAATTACAAGGAAACAAAAACTAAACAAACAATAAAGAACATCCGAGTCGAATTTCTTCAATGGCATTGTTGCCTTCCTTGGCCGTAGCGTTTGTTTGGGAACTTTCTGTTTAAAAAAAGAAAGACGTAGGCGCGTCGCCGGTCTATAAAATCTCGGTATATACCGAACAATCAAAGTCTGTCAGTACTTTGGCAAAGATAATCATACGCCTCCCGAACACGACGCGGGCGTCATCGGGGGCACAGCTTTGGCACCGTCAGAATAACCAATCAACGTTTACTTTGTACCAATGATAAACATAAAACTGTACGGTGGATAAAATTTGTAATATTTCACTATTTTCAATATTTTGCATTGGATTAAAATTGAGCTTTCGACTTTAATTTTATTTTATTTTGAATTCTGAAAGTAACCAGAAACGAAAAAAGAGTGCGATGGCTAATAATAGTGAGATCAAAGGTCAACTATGACCCATGTAGGTGGTAGATGCGGTGGTGCGATAGGTAAAAAGGCAGAGTTATGAACGACATTACAAACTTCTTGGTTCAAACTAATCGTTATCAATAGCGTACAACGCAATCCAAATACGACACTAGCGTACTCTACCGCAAGTGGTCGACTCACCACCGTCTCCCTGACTCGCCTGTGCCAACGCTGCGGCGGTGCAGCGTTTGCATTGCGTTGGGCACAATTCGCCTGAAACACTTTTAGGCAACTTCCCTACAATATTATCGATTATTCCAACAACTAATCAAATTAAGTTTAAACCTTACAGTACCTGAGTGTAAATGGAAGACTTATTCAGAGTTTTATCTAAGTCTCCATACTTGCAACTTGTTGGTATCACGTATCTTTGTTATTTTGTTTCATTATTTGCCCTATAAATAACCTAGAATAATCTGCTATTGCTCAACGATTACAATGAAAAGGAAACAAATATTTGTGTGCCAGTAAGACAGCAAAAAACCTTATTGTGTTATACGAGTAGTATTGGTTGGCTAATGTCATTTGATCTACGGTAAAAAAATTAAAGTAACTTCGTGAAAATATCTGTGGTCGCGAAACAAACACAAGGCCGGATCGAAATTGAAGTTTTGCAACAGTTCTATATGTAATTATTGTAGACGACGACAAAGATTCTTTATGACTACGAGGTATTTTACGTTCGGTTACAAATAAAACGAGTTATTTTTATCCGCGGATCGTTTATGGCGTACAAAAGAGAACACTCGGGTTTACGTAACAAGAACTTTAGTGTTCGGAAATTAGCGAGTTTTCTTTATTATGATAATTCCGTCGATGAAACAAGGAGAATCATGTATATTTCAAGACCAAAACATTAGTCAATGGATAGAAACCACACGAGCACAAATGTGTTTGTAATCACGATTGACGTCACAATGAGTTTAGTCTTAATAGATAGGTAAGAGCCAGACTGTACATTTATGATAACAATATTTTGGCAAAGAATATTCGAGAATTTTTTTAGGAACGACATTAAAAATTGATGAGGCGTGAGAGCTCATTGTCCGGCCTCTCGCTTTTAATTCAATGTACACGAGCAACCTGAGTTCGATCCCCGAAGACGGCACTAATGGAATTGTTATTTTAAGTGCTGAACTATCACGGGCTCGGCGGTGAAGGAAAACATCGTGAGGATATCTGCATATATTTTTCGAAATATGAAGGCTTCCTCACATTTTTTTTACATAAAAATTTCTATTATTCGAATATGCCGTATAATCGTTGTTACTTAGGTTGTTTGCAACAATCTTAGAGACGATGGAATCAAAGGAGAAAAAACAATTATCTAATCTTGCTTCAGTGATCGAAGCGACGATAATTGTTCGACTTGCTCTGAATGATACCTGTTTTTTTTATTCATAAAAGTCATAAAAGTACCTTATCTAAACTGCATAATGAAAGTACGGTGGTACATAACGGTGGTAGGGCCACGCTGCAGCCTCGGCTGTTGCACAAATGGGCAGGCCCGTCCGGGTAAGTACCACGACCTCACAGAAGACCAGCGTAAAGTGGAAGTATGACAAATACTTTCGCGTTTCGTTTGGTGAGTGAAGTAGCCGGAGCCTAATTTTCAAAAGGTTGTCCTTCAGAAAATCGGCATCTGTAACCCTCGGGTGTGGCAGATGTCCATGGGCGGCGGTATTCACTTAACATCAGGTGAACCGTCTGCTCGTTTGACCACTTTTCGCATAAAATAAAAATAAAAAAAAAACATAATCTGAACATTGCCCTTACTTTAGGATAAAATGATCCTTTGTTTTAAAGACGTTTTACAAACATAAATTTCAAGCGGACAGACACCCAGATTCGAAACAAATATCTGTGGATCACACAAATAGTTGTGAGAATCGAACCCACGACCCCCGACGCCGAAGCCTTAGCAAATGCGATGCGGAGTAATCAAGTCATTTTATTGCACTCAATTGTCATATTCTTCGGAACGTGACGTGAGTTAATAAACAATAAAACAGGACAACAGGACCGTTGCAATGCGACGCGGTCGTTACGAGTTATAATCGGTTACGCTGGACCGCTTCGCTTAGTGCGATGTACGGCAACAGGATGGTAATGTATGTGCTCGTATGGAAAATGATGGGATGGCCGAGCGCAAATAATAAAGCGCAATTTAACACATCAATGAACAAACGAGCATCGAGCTGCGTGAAGCTGGACAGTACAGGACACTCTGGTGTCTAGTGTGTACGTTTGGCACGTTCCATTGTTAGTTCGCAATAAAGGCTACTCAATTGATTTTTTTTATCTTGCGATAACCAGTTTACTTGAATTTGGAACGCTTAAATTGAAACTAGCGCATTTTGGTTTCATGTCCTCTTTGAAAGTACACAACGACGAAATAAAATTACCTCAGATAGAAATTTACTAAAATTTGGTTTTAAGAGTGGGGCAATAGCGGTTAACTGGTTTATATCTTTTTCCAAAATTAGTAGCGATCATTAATCGTGTAATTAGTAATCGATTCACTTTTGACTTAATATCGATGCAAGGACAAGCTGATGAGGTAACAGATAACAAATGGGTAAAATATCAATAATGAATCAGTTACAAATTAGATTTAGATTAGACCGCGATCTTTTTCTATAGTTAAAGTGTGACGCGAAACGCCGAGCGATACATAAACAATAGTGTACGTAAGGCGACGACTTTGTTTTTATTAGCTTGCACCGGCATTATCTTTAGACGAAAAGATTAGATAACCGTATTTACGTCCAAGCATTAGAGTGAAGCGCGGTACATAATGTACACATCTTAGAAATACAACCCACCAGCCGTGAACTTGACCGTGAGGGAGCGGCTCGGCTCGGCGGGCACGCGTACTCTTCCGTGAAGCCCCGTAAAGCCCGACGGCTCTCATATTCTAAAAGCTATTTATATAAAACGTATCGCGCCATAGGAAAATCTGATTAGACAGGCTATTGCGCGTCTAACGGTCGCTAAATGGCTTCGATTCGCAAACTGGTAGTTTTGAGAGCAAAGCAGTGGGATAATTTTACGGTTAAACTGACAAATAATTTATAAATAACGATAAATTTTTATACATAAACATTTATTTATTTATTTTAGAATTTATGCACTAACAAACAAATCGAAATGTAATGTCTTAATGCGTATGCAAGTTACTTCCAATTATACAAAGTATTGACAGTTAAGAAAATTTTAATGATTTTACTAGCAGTGATATAAACAAAAAAAAAAGATTTAACGCATACTTCATTTTGTAACAAAAGAAAACAACTTGGCAAACGAATCAACGGGATGATAATTTTCGGAAACGTATAGAAGCAAACTCAAACGTAAATGTTGAAGCCTAAATAAATAGCAGTGAGAATTTGTCAAATAATTATACATGGAAATTGCTACTCGTAGTATCTTTATGACGTCAACGTTCAAAACGAGACAAAATCTAACGACATCATGAATTTTATTTGGAATGGGTTCCATGAAGATCACAGAGTATATTTATGTATACTATAACTACCTACACAGACGCAAAAATCAAAAATCATAAAAACCGATAAACTTATCACGATAGGCGTCGCACGTGACACAGATACCGAGCTTTGCATCCGTAGATTTTCGCGAGGATAAGCTCCCGACGAAAATAAACAACGCACGTGATTGTGGACCCATATCTCGCGCCGTCTTATTACGTTTTACGTGTCGATTCAACTTTTTTTTTCATTTGAACTTTGATCCGCTCAATTTGGCAAGAACCGTTAGACTCGGCGATATCAGGGACTTTTGCATAACCTAAAAAACTTTTTCGACGTCGACACTTTAGGCCAGCGAATTTCACACTGTTCTCAATGTTCACTGATCACTTGATATTTATTTAAATCAATTTTTTAATAGCTTGTTACGTTAACATAAAAAGATTACGATTTATCTTATGCACTTATACCGATAATAATGTATCGCCTTTGGACAAATGTAAAAACAGAATGTGCAATTATACCAGCATTAACAGTACCCCATAGCAAATTTTTTCCCGCTTTCATTTGGTTTAAAGAAAATTTTGTTAAACTATGATTTGTTTAATTATATGTATAAAATCAACTAGGTTTTGCATGTATGCATAATATATATATATATATATATATATATATATATATATATATATATATATATATATATATATAAAAGGAACAAATATCACCAACATTAACTAAATGCAATTTAAAAATTCTCAGGAATACAAGAACTAAACAAAAAAAAATAGTTTCATCCAGGATTGTGTAAACTGACTGATGTAATTACAAATTCATTTAGCAAGGAAGAAAATTTAAACTGTATTTGTAAACTGAAGTGATAAACACATTTAACATACCTTCTTCTGGACTAAGATCCCCAAACTTTACGCCACCACTGTAAAGAAATCACAAAAATTAAACAATGTATATAGCATGGGTCATGTATGTTATGGAAACATGTATGATTTTGTAACAAGATACAAGTTTAACATACAGCCAGGAATATTCTTTACTTATGTACTCTGGTAGTTATTAAAAGTTTTAACTTGTTTATCTATAAGAATATCTTTAGCTATCTATACTATGAAGGTTTTTCTTTTTTGTTCTTCTTATTTATGTTATAGGAATATTGATTAAAATTTGCTTTCAGGTCAAAATTTATGGCTGCGTTTGTCAGTTTGTGAAGATTTTACTTCGTACCTTAGTAGGACGGTAGCCGTTTCCGGCACCCGGAACACCTGGAAATAAATACATTGTGGAACCATGTTTTACTGGATCTCCTATTGGAGAAACCACAGGGATAATGATTACGGGTGAATATATTTTTTCTATTGCAATATATGTTGTGCATTTTTATTTTTACTTTGTATAAAATAAACTTTTATAGCAATTTTAGCTTTGCTTTAATATTATTGTTAATATTGGGTGACGTTACGTCAATATCGTACGAAAGAAGGGAAAATAATTTTTCAAGGGAAAATAATCCAATATATTTTTAAAAAGCAAAAACTTTTTTAAAATTGACACTATTTTCTTGCTATGGAAAATTTAGTGTCTATTTAGTTTTAATACGTAACGACGTGTAACTTTTTCAGTGTTTTATTTTTATATAGGGATACTTTAAACCGTATCCATGTAAACGTAACGTAATGTAACTAATAAAAAAAGGTTTTCTTACCTTCCATCCCAGGTTTTCAAAGAAAGTACTAAGACGGGATTGCCCAGTAGTTTTACCGCCACAAGGTCCTGAATAGGTTAAAAAAAAGTAGAATGTGGATTGTTTAGTACAAGTGCCAAGTCCCCACGTGCAATATACATAAGTTTAAAAATAAATATTTTTAAGAAATGCAAATGAAACATTCCTTTGCATTTGTTTTCTTTGGCTTTAATATTAAAAATCATAATTTACCTCCAGTTAATACCAGTCGGTACACAGTCTTCTGTAGTTGATTCGCCATTTTGTTAAAACGCAGATATATATGTTATATAAATATAATAAAAACTAAATTACACTATCAATTATTTTATAAACTATAATATATATATCATAAAATTGTTAAATTTACAAAGTTAAATGAGGCCATCACAGCGCTACGCGCATCGCCTGACAGGCGTGCGAACAAGTGAACAAGTAATGAAGTAAGAACGAAGAATAGATCGGATCGGAGGAAAGCGAATGAATTAGTTAGAGATGGGCTTTGGGCGTTGAATCAACGAACTAGTTAAATCAACGATTGATCTCTTGTCAACAGCGCTTGTCAACGTATATAATAATATAACGTTAACTCTTCATGAAACCGACTAGTTGAATTCGTCAACTCAACTAATTGATTTCTGTTTAATAAAATCGACTTGTTGACCGCAATTGTATCACAATCATACTGAATAAATTAAAAAAAAACTTACGTTTAAAAATAACGTTTCGTTATAACGTAACGTAAAGTTGATAATTATTTGAAATATATTTTAGAAAAGGATTAAGACATTTGTATATAGTTTTCGGCATGCCGAATAGTTGTGAAATTGTATCTTTACATTTACATTTGACAATTTGTGAGCAGTTGCACGCAAGGTCAGAGATTATTTTGCGGCTGTCTTAAAAATTGTCAGAATTTTACTTCATGTTTAAGGTGTCTTCTTTATGCAAATTTCTTAATTTGTAATTGTATAAAGAATATAATATGAATCAGTCATACAATTTACACTCGTTAAACGTTGCAGCGTGTAATAAAATCCGTCCATTCATGCAAATTGATGAAGTATCACGTTAACTAGTTGAGGAATTTAACTGGTAAGTTGATAAAAAAATCTTCAACGAGCAATCGATGTAATGAATGCTGATTTTTAATTGATTCAAAGATCAACACTAACAAGTGTCAAGATATAAGTTGTGTTGAGTAATGTCTTTTTGCCTTCCCAGTCAGATAATAGCTACCGATCGAGCCGAGATCCGGCCCTCTCGGGCACCTTCGAATCGGGATGCTAAACGCGTGTTGAGTGACAGCCCACGCCGAGGTCCCCTCTCGGGGACCCTTGAGCCTGATCATTCCATGGAGCGCCCGCCAAAGCGCCCTAAGAGCTTGGTGGCCTCCCAAACCGGTGATAAGAATAGCGCGACGGCCCGAGCCGAGGCTCCCCCGGGAACCCTCGAGCTTAGTCACCATAACGCGTAATAATAATACGCCGAGGTTCAGGCTAGGCGCCTCGTGCGCAATGCCACCTCAAGCCCGTCGGAACTGTAAGGGCCCCTAAGGCCAACAGTGGCTCATCCAGCCAAAAAAAAAATGTTTATGCCTTTTGAAAGTAACAATGTATTTATTTAAAAATTGGTACCATTGATTTGATAATGAAGAAACAAAATATAGTAAATTGTGTATTGGAATTTATATAACACCTTTCACTTTCGTACTCATGAGTACAATATACCCGTTCCACAATGATGATGCCATGACACCGTTGCATCCGCGACCCATTTTAATGAAATATGAAGAACCTTACAAAATATGAAGAACCTTACAACAAGGGATAAGACATATTCCGAGGGGGTCGGATTGATCGCGGTTTGGCGATGACGGCAATCGATGTGCCACCTATGCACAGGAATTTATTATTTCGAAATGGCGATTTTATTACGAGACTTAACTGCATCGAAGTATCGCTTACGAAAAATATTAAAGTACGAAAACAATTAGGAAATCGATAAGATTAGATTATTTGCAAAACACAAGATTTACTAAAATAATCAATTGACAAAAACGATTAATGTCCAGAAGCAGATGCAACTTAAGTGAGTGATACAAGATAGTGACGAAGCCATTGCGGGCCGGTTTTGTTTATTTTTATGTGAGAAGGTGGCAAGCGGGCAGGCGGTTCACCTGATGTTAACACTTCCAACACCCGTAGGGTTGCAGATGCATTACCAGTTTTTAATAAAGTGGGCCCCAGCTACCTCACTCACCAGAAGAAATGCAGAAGTATACACTTCAACTTCATGCCGGTCTTCGGTAAGGTCGTGGTACTTAATCGGATGGACCTGGTCATTCGTGCAACAGTGTTGCGGCCCTTCCACCGCAAATACCATATCCAAGGATGAAATTATGGTACGAAAACGACGTACCATAAATTTATTACTTTTCCTAAATGACCAACATTATACCATTCACTGCCAATCAGACATTAAAAGAATTTCTTTGGAATGTAATCACGTTGCAATTCTATCGAACAGCAGAAAGCCTCTTGTCTATATAATTGTCTATTATCGATGAACGATGAACAATTAACTGGGACTTACCGTGAATGGTACTTTTTTTTTCGATACTCCGCTATCTCATACAGTCACTTAGCACATTGCACTCAATGAATTATTTAATAGAGTTCATAATTGTCTAATAGTACGATTATTTTATTCTATTTAGGGTTCCATTCGACGGCCGTTCCATTCTTATTCATAATTCAAAGTTATAACAACTTACTGCGAGTTTTTGAGTAAAATTGATTTTGAAAAAAAAAATTTTGTGAAAATAATAGTGTACTATATTTTTTTGTCAATTATTATCCTTTTAAATTATTTGTACTATCTTTTTTACCGCATCTAAATCCAACCCTGGGTGTACCGACTACCGAGTATCTGTTTCTGTACACGTACAGTGTATTGGTTCTGGACGTGATTTTATTGACAACTGTCATGCATATTTCTGTTTTTCTTTTTTTTCCTTTTTATAGTTTATAATTTATAGTTCATTATTCAATTAGATTAGTTATATATATTCTCTTTGATTATTTTTATTGATGCATAAATTAACTGATCTAAATAATATCCTTTTATCAAGGAATATTTTAAAATGTCTCGCTCAAAATAACATTAAAAGTGTTTTAGAATTTCTTCAAGAAGATGCAGAAAAGTTAACCACGATAACTAAGTTGAATCTGTCTCAAATTTTGGACATAAGGAATGATATTTTTGAGAAATATTCTGCCCCTTTATTTGATGGCCCGTCATTATTAGCTAAGAGCTTAATTAGTAAAAGATTTCTTGATACAGGAATAGAAAGGTAATAATATTTAATTCGATATTAAGATTGAGTTAGCTATTTATATTAATTAATTACATACTAGATTTTTTTATAAATATCTAATTTATCAACAGGTTAAACACTGCTTTGGGCGGAGGATTACCTATTGGATATATAACTGAAATATATGGGCTAGCTGGCTGTGGCAAAACTCAATTGTGTTTTCAATTAGCAATTAATTGTTCTAGAAATACAGAACACACTATACTTTACATAGATACAAAGGGAGATTTTGAAGCATTAAGAATTCAAAAAATTTTAGATCACCTTGGTTGTTCGCATCAGGTAAATAACTAGTTGTAGGGTTAGGTTCCTAATATTATGTTATATACCGCATGTCGTTACCATCGCGACAATAAATGAACACACATACAGGGGATAACTTTTTAAAGTTGTATTAAACATTTAAATTCTTTAAACATCAATATTTACACAGTTATAAAATTTTCCAAAACAAAGAATTTTAGGACACCCTTACCTATAAAAGCATAACGTAAAGTTCATTTGTAAAGGTCACAAAGTATATGAATGGGTTGAATGAATTTAAAAGAGACAAAACATACTGTTAGAAGGAGAGGCTTGTAATACGACGCTGATGTTACAAATTTTGTTTCTTTTTTACTTAATTAGTTTGATTGAAAAATATTTTTTTTTAATTACGGATTTTGTTTAACGGTAAAAAAAATTTATGATTATTGGCAAGTAGACTACTGTATAATACATTACTAATATTATTTTATATATATATATTCTTGGCCATTTTTCAGAAAAACATTGTTATATATACAAATCTAAAATAATAAAAGTTCTTACCTGTCTTTGAGATTTGGAGTCACAACCTCAATTTCAGTTAAGGTGGCCCAGCCACTATGCCATCGCTGCCCCAATTATATCATTATCTTTCGAAATTAGCAAAAATATTTACAAAATAACAGCATGGAACATTTTTGTAGGAAACGGCGAGAGTCTTGCATAAAATAAAAATCATGCAGATATGGACTATGGAGGAAATAATTGAATTTTTGGAAAAACTAAAAAGTAAAATTATTATTATTGAAAATTTGTCCTTGATAGTCATAGATTCACTACCATGTCTGATGTTTCAACACTTTGGAGATGAAAACAAAATAGGTTAGTTTGTTATTCCTTCCAAAAGATTGTTTTATATTATGATAATGCATAATGGAAAATATCAAATCTCTTACACCATATTTTTTTTTTTTGACCATTATGATGAGCTTTTATTAAGGGAATATTGTGTTATAGAAATCCTTGTCAATTAAATTTATGGAGTGTATTTAGGTATATTTTTATTAAATTTACAAAATGTCTTCATAACATATGATGAGTAATATGGATCCAAAAAGCTACAAAGACAAAAAAATTTTCAATTTCATTCTCAACTGTTTCTGAATAACCACACTCAAATTCATTAAATATTGCTGGCTGGACATATTCTTTTGAAATCCTGTATTATGTATTATATTGTATATTTTCCATATATATATGATCCTGATTTAAATTGTGTACTTCCCTAAAATCAAGGCAAAACAATTATTTGTTTTAGCGTATCATTAATTGCTAATTGTTATTGCTTTTAAATATACATTATACATAAGTATACCTTTTTATAATAATATTATTTTATGTTGGTACATAACCCCTTCATCACCTGCTATCTCTAAAACTAAGCTCAAACAGTGGTGTTTTAAGGTTTAATATAGTTTTTACATGTCAGGAACTCCAAACCATAAGTTGGATGCTGCAGCACGCCAGGCATGGTATAAGAGACTAAATCACAAACTGCCACCTGGTTAAATATTGACAAAGCATTACCTAATCATTGTTAATAAAAAAATTATGCCTCTTATTTATTTCCTAAATAATAAAGCTACATCGATTTTTAGAATGGTAGATTGAATTGTTCCTACATTATATTTATGTTATGAATAAAATACCTGTAAGCATTTGTTAGATAAAGAAAATTTTAATCATCACCAATTGCATATATGAATCTATAAATGATATAATGGGTGTTGGCTCTTATTATTGTAATAGCATACTTAGAATGGCTTAATTTTATAGGTCTAACTTATTTGAATATCCTAGTAAACCATTGTCGATTTCTTGGCAAGAATTACCAAATTAGTGTTGTATGTGTCAACATACAAACAAGATGGGTTGAAAAAGATTATTTAGATTGTGAAGGTAAGGTTGCAATTTTTTAAAATTAAAGTAAAGTATGACGTACAAGAATAAAACGTTTAATCTTACAGAACAGGAAGATCAAGAAAGAGAAGTTTTATGTATAGAAAAATACAATAGATGTTTGGGGAAGTACTGGCAACAAATTTCATCACATATTATATTACTAGAAAGAATAAAGATAGATGATGTAAATAGCAAAAATAATAGTTTATCTATAAAAGGAACAGTTTCTAGATCTAATGGAATAAAAATTGCACAGCAATGTTTTTTAAATGTGGGCAGCTTTGGTGTAAGGTGACTCACAAAACTCTCATGTATTGTAGGTACATTTTCAATAAACGTAATTTATAATGAAAGTTTATTTTATTCTGACTCTTTCGTTGAATAAAAGACCAGTCAGAGAAGGCAAACTTGAATGTAAATAATGTCTAAATATTTTTATCTAGGTATAATTCAAAAACATCATACACAAATAAACTAAGTTGTAAGTTTGGAAAGGAATTTAAAATTAACTACATTTATTTACAAAACTATTAAAAAAGTAAAATGCAAGTCCCCATTTACACATGTACTACTTATATATTATCTATCCTAACTACTGAACAAAGGCATCTGGACAGTATTAAGGGGCCCATTCACTACCCTGACTGGCAGTCCGCCGTGCAGGACTGCAAAGCAGGATGTAGCCCACACACTATCCTGCATGCCGTCCATCATAGTGTCAGTGTTGTTGTTGTAATAATTATGGATTTACGTGAAGTATCGAAAAAAAAAGAAAATAGCGATTCTGCTATGTTTTTTTTGTTGTTAGATAAAAGTTTTTATTAATAAATAATCTTTCCTCACATTATAATACTACATAAAATTTAAGTAATAACCGAAGCTTTTCTTAAGTTGAACTATTTCAATATAAAAAAGTTTTTTAGCTTAGTTTTAGTTATCACATCAGTCGGGCTTCCCGGGATGCGCACGTTTTTTTTTTTGTTTAAAATAAAGTACCTAGTCCTGTGTAGATTTTTTCACACATGTGAATAATTTTTTTTTTAATTCTTTAAAATATTTCTAAAAAAATTACCTCAAACAAAATTTCTTTTGTAAATATGTACTGTCTAAATTTAGCATCCGTATTTTCGTATTTTTTTATTTTCTCACCAGTTTAAGCTTAAGTTAGTTTTGTACATGGCCTTACATTTTAAGTAACACCGTTAAAGGTCGACGAGCTCCTATGAAAGAGAGTTCATCCGTACATTAAAAATGTGTAGATAAATAATTGTTGAAAATTTTTTCTGTGTTGCCTGGATCGAACCTGCGCCTTACGAGTTACACGCCCAGACGCTCTATCCACTAAACGGTCAATATCGTCACAGCGCAAAAATCTCAACGTTTTAACTACTTTATCTTTATTACATTTTTAGCAATGCTTATCGCCATTTCTTGTGTTTCTTTAACAGCAAACATACTTATGACATTATTACAATGAATATTTATGAAGACTAGAGACGCACCAGAGATATGATAGCATATGATAGGTCGTAGGTCTTTTATTATAAATTATTTGTAGGTACTTAGTCGTTTGTGGATTTCACTACTTTTATTATATTACTTTAGTTAAAACATACTACATAGTATATTATAAGCATACTTCATACAGTCTAAACCTCGGCCCTTCTAGGTAGAGTATTACCACGGCCCCTACGCGATGTGGTATTTTTTTGTAAAAAGATGATATTATTACTCACATACATCAAATAGATAACAAATAGCAAAGTGTCGTTCGTTGTGGCGTTCTAAGGGGGAAGCCTATGATCAACAGTGGAAGTTTTGCGCTGAGGATGATGACATCAGATTTACTCGAATATATACAGCTACGGGAGCGGTATACATTTATTGAAGTTATACTCAATTTCCTATATTACAAAGTACTCTGTGGTTATACTTCTTTTGACGAGTAATGAAAAAATGATGAGAGTGAAATTTTAAGACTCATTTGTAACACAAATGTCGCACCTTTGAAGATGCCCGCAAATTTTTATAGATGGCAGCATATTCTTAATCACCGTTACAGTTCTCAATAAAGAATTTAGATGGCGCTTTCATAATTTTAGTCATAGTATGAAAAAGTGCATTTACGCAAAGGGAGAATATGTTGAGAAACAATACAAACGAGTAGTAGTATTTTTTTATTTATTCTGGAAACTTTTAGTGCGCCCCACGTACAATTAGTTTTCTTCTTCTTCTCTGTCGTTCCCTCACTAATGGGGGTGGTTGTTGTATATAATTTATTTTCCTTTGCTTCTGTGCTGCGCCAGTTCAATAGGTCGCTGTGGAGGTTTTCCTGTTGCCTCTACAATACTTTTACTCCATCGTTCGAGAATTAGCCCCCTGGAGCGCTTACCCTTCATATGTTCCACGATCTACTGTTTCTCCAACTCATGCATTATATGAAAGAATCTCAATTGACGTTCTCGGTATAGAGAGGTAAGTAGTTTTTTGATGTGGATCTCTTGCTGAATTCATATGTTTATCCTCTTGATTGTCCACGGGTCTAAATGTTCACGTTTTAAAAGAATTTAAAAGTAAATAAATTATTGATTGCATCATTGCAAAGCAGTCTGTCACAAAATCTAGTATTTTTTCGCTTGTTTTAACGATTCATCTTTCCTTTTAACTTTAAACAGTATTATTTAAGCTTAATTATGAAAGCAAAAAACGATTTCAAAATAACGACTACCTTTGCATTTTACTTACCTATAGAATCATAGTCTTTCGCAGTAAACGAAACGTTTCTCATAGACATTAGACATTATAGAGTCGAGTACGGACGCCCGCCATTCTTGTTTTCTGTCAAACTCTGTAATGTATACCGATCGTGGTTACTTTTTTCATTATTGAAGCGTAATAAGTAAAGCTTTATTATTTTTTATTAATTTTCGCAATGTCCAATATATCTTTAGATAAAGAGACGTTCTATCGTCGCATGAAAAGACTGTATGCGGCATGGAAGGTTGGTTACAAAACGTAAATTCTAACGTTCGGTTTTTGTATTTCTTTAAAATATTTAAAAAAAAATTACAGGCTGCAGCTGCTGATTCTAAAAGCGATGATGTAATATCTAAGGCTGACTGCTTGGTTTCTTGTGTTGGTGTCGATGAGGATACATTATATAGTAAATCAACAGCCCTACAGGTGCGTCTTTTCATATCTTCCACATGCGCATGGCCATGTTTTAGTTAATAACTCAACAATACAATACAAATTGAACGGAAAAGTTACTGATAATAGTCATAGGCAATGTTTGCAATATTGTATTTATCTGATTTATGAATGTTGTTAAACATCCTTGAAATGAATTATAAGTATTTATATTTTTCAGACATGGTTATTTGGATATGAGTTACCAGACACTATAACAGTTCTCACAGAAAATAGTATGTGCTTCCTCGCTAGTAAGAAAAAAATTGAGTTTTTGAGACAAATTGAAAATGGAAAGGATGAGACAGAGTTACCTCCAGTGAAACTTCTTATTAGAGATAGAGTAAGTATTTCATAATTATACTATACAAAAATCTATTTTCAAAATATTTCTATTCATATTTTCTACAATATCATACTTTGTTATTAGTGTAGATATTTATGTTTTACATATACATGAATAGCATCAGATCAAAGTTATTGGTGGAAATTACAAACTCCAGAATGTTTTAACGGTGGTAGGGCCACGCAGCAGCCTCGGCTGTTGCACGAATGGGCAGGCCCGTCCGGGTAAGTACCACAACCTCACAGAAGACCGGCGTAAAGTGGAAGTATGACAAATACTTTCGCGTTTCGTCTGGTGAGAGAGGTAGCCGGAGCCCAATCTTCAAAAGGTTGTCAACGCATCTGTAACCCTCGGGTGTAGCAGATGTCCATGGGCGGCGGTATTCACTTACCATCAAGTGAACCGTCTGCTTGTTTGGCAACTATTCACATAAAAAAAAATGCATTTCTGAAGCACAAGATTTAATAATATAAACTTTCACAAATTATTTTATTTAAATTATATGCTAGACACTGTTTCTTCTATAGTATAAAAAAGTATCATCGTCATGTCTGACTTGCTTTTATTTTAAAATAAGCGTAGAAACAGTCATCTATCAGTTAATCGGCAAGGAAATATGTATAAATACCATTATAAAATTCCTAAAGTTAATATAACATTCTAGAGTGTTTTGAACATAAATAACACTCTCCTGTAAAATTCGGTTTTTGACATGTATATAGGGACCATCGATATATTTTAATTATGTTTTATAAAAATAGACTGTTTTCTTAATTTTACTGCTTAGGTTTACTTTTGTACTCATGAAGATGCTCTTCCACTTTGTTTTTTGTTTTGGGGTTGTCTGCCTGTTAAAATTGAGGAGGGCTAGAACAAAAACTGATAAATCACATTTTAATAGTTTACTAATTTTTTAATTCTTTTTTTGGTTAGGTGTATAAAGTATGTAAAAGTATATATAAAGTATGGTAAAAATAAATATGACGATGTAAATAAAATAATATAACAGTATAAGCACATGATAATGTTTATAATCTCAAAACTTTTCTATTATTTCATATTCTGTTAATTTTTGTCAATGCATGTTAAAACTACAGAGAAACTAATTTTTTGGTTTGTATTCATAGAATTGTTTATGGAGACTGCTCTTATGGTATAAATGATTGTTAAAGAAATAATATTTTTTTATAGAATGATAAAGATAAGGAAAATTTTAATAAGCTCATACAAGAGATTAAAAAATCAAAATCTGGCAAAACACTTGGTGTATTTGCAAAAGATAATTATCCTGGTGAGTTCTGTGAAAGTTGGAAAGCTGCCATGAAAGCAGAAAAGTTTGAAAATGTAGACATCAGCTCTTCCATAGCATTTCTTATGGCACCAAAAGAAGACTCTGAAATTATTACTGTTAAGAAAGCATGTTTGGTCACAGTTGATGTATTCACAAAATACTTAAAGGACCAGATAATGGAAATTATTGATTCTGATAAAGTAAGTTGAGATTCTGGTGTATATAATATTGTAAATCATTAAAATTTGTATTTTATACATTGCATATAATATAAAACATATACAGCATGTCTTTACAATTGCGACAATAAGCGAACACATGTCTAACGCTACTTGCCAATAATCATAAAAAAATATTAACATTAAAATAATCCATAATTAAAAAAGATATATTTTTCAAACAAACTAATTAAAAAAGAAACGAAATTTGTAACATCCTATACAACTACAACTGACTGATTCATACATTCCGAGACTTTTTCATTAGTTGCCACAGCGTCGCATTACAAGCCTCTCCTTCAAACAGTATGTTTTGTCTCTTTTAAATTCATTCAACCCATTCATATTGTTATGAACACACAAAGGAACTAACGCCATCTAGCGTCAACTATTAAAACCAATAAAGAACAAGACGACATAAAACCCCCTATTCAACACTAGATGGCGTTAGAGGAACTGCTGTGGAACTATAGTCTCGAAAACCGGGTACATTCGCGAACTTTCCGGAAACACGAACATGTTCGCGCGTGTCGGGTACGTTCCAGGAAGGATCTTTCTGGACTAGTCCGGAACCGGTCTCGGCCCATATAAAAAGCCGCAGGGAGGCGAGCGAACACAGTTCAGTTTGAGTTACCTTCGAGGCGACTTCGGAGCGAAAACTAGTGATCAAGAGCGATACCAGTGAAACCTACGACTTGGCTACAAAATAGGACATCGTTAGTGCTAAGTGTTTGGACCTAGTGCTTTGTGTTGGACCTAGTGCTTGAATAAAGTCTTCAAAAGAGTCAGCAGGTCATTCTCTCCAAATCCTTCGAACCCTAACACGTAACAACTGGTGTCAGAAGTGGGATTTAGAGATGCCATTGACTCCGAGAGAGGACTTCAACGAGGTCAGGACAAGGGCACGAGCTGTGGAGGCCACACCCACTGGGGACCAAGTCCCGCCCACTGTGGGGCAAGCCCCGCCCACTGGCCCCCACCGACCGGGTCACGCCCACCGACCACGCCCCTCAGACTTCACCCATTCATGCCCAAGCCCCGCCCACTTTGCCACAGGCCCCGCCCACTCGGGCTCAGGCCCCGCACCCTTTGGCGCAGGCACCGCCCTCTGACTCCACCCACCGGGCCACGCCCATTGGCCCCGCCCACCTTGCCACGCCCACCAGCGGCGCCGTGACTTCTGCAGCCCCTGAAGTGGCTCTTCAATTGGGAAGTTTAATAGAACTAATGAAGCTGCAAAGGGCTGAAATTCAAGCGATTCGAGAATCACAAGAGCAACAAAAAGACCTCCAAGAAAAAGCGCTTTGGGCTATAAGTGATGTTAGTAACACGGTGATTAAGCTTCGAAAAGATGTCGACGTAGTGGAAGAACGAGTTACCGGGTTAGGATTGGACGTTGAAAATGTGAAAACCGGCCTCACTGAACTACAGAAGAAAGTAGTGCGCCTTGAAACCACGGGAGTTGCGATGACTAGTGGCACTACTGGAGTGGCACAAGGACCGAGAGTGAAAGTGCCGTCATACGACGGCACTACTTCTTGGCACGCTTATCGTCGGCAATTCAAGACTAGCTACTGCCAACGGATGGACGGAAGAGCAATGCCTGACCGCTCTCACTGTTGCGCTTAGAGGGCAAGCTTTGTCTGTCCTGGAAGCACTGCCACATACAGGAAATGGGTTCCAAGACCTGATGGAGGCACTTGAATCCAGATATGGGGAGCGACACCTGGAGCACGTGTTCCGTGCCCAACTGCGTGACCGAGTCCAACGCTCAGGAGAAGGACTACAACAATGGGCGTTGGAAATTGAAAAACTTGTCAGGAAGGCACACCCAGGAGCCGACACTAAGATGGTAGACACGAACATTGTTCAAGCATTTGTGGACAGAATCGAAGACCTGGAGGTCAGAACTGCAGTGAGGCTTCGTCACCATACCTCGCTAAAGAAGGCATTGGCGCACGCTTTGGAAGTCGAGGCTGTTCGCTATGACGTGCGGCAGACCCATAAGAACCGCGAGGTGTCTGAGGAAGTCAAGGAGGTTAAGGCTCCTACGAAGAGAAGTTCTGGGCCCATGTGCTACAAGTGCGGCGAGAGGGGCCATCTTCAGCTCAACTGCCCGCAGAAGAAGACCCAGATGTCAAGGATGAAAAGGATTGAGGAACAAATAGAGGAGCTGAAGAAGCAAGGGGCTTCAGGGAAACGAATAAAAGCCAGGACTAAGGGGCGAGTACTGGCTGACGCGGAGGAAGCCACAGCAAACAGCAACAACTACGGATCAGTGACTGAGCTACTCAATGACTTCAAGACGGAACACCGCAGCAGAAAGACGCATGTGAATGCCGACGCACTCTCACGAAGGCCGTGTTCGGAAGACTGCAAACATTGTGTTAAGCAGGAATCTAATGAAGTAACATTAAAGCTAACAAGAACAAGTTCTTTGGGTCTCTGGGAGAATGATGCTATGAGGGAGGCTCAAGAAAGAGATGACGACCTTCGGCACATCATCGCATGGAAGAAACGGGGTGACGTAAAACCAATCTGGAGTGAGGTTGCTCCCACTGGCGCCGTCACTAAGGCGTACTGGGCGCAATGGGACAGTCTGATACTTCAAAACGGAATACTCTACCGGAAATGGGAGAAGACTAACGGCAGAGAGTTCCATCTTCAAATAATTGTCCCGAGAACGAGAGTACCAGATGGTCTCCGTGAAATACATGATGGCGTATCAGGAGGTCATCTAGGTGTCAAGAGGACGTTAACAAAAGTGCGAGAACGATTCTACTGGTTGCATTGTCGAGATGATGTACAGGATTGGTGCCGCAAATGTACTACTTGCGCTGCTGTAAAAGGACCACAGACCAGAAGCCGTGGGAACCTGCGGTTGTATAACGTCGGTGCACCGTGGGAACGAATTGCAGTTGACGTAGCTGGGCCATTTCCTGTAACGGAGTCGGGAAACAAGTATTTTATGGTCGTCATGGACTACTTCACCAAATGGCCCGAAGTGTTCGCCATACGAAACCAAGAAGCTACAACAGTCGCTTCTAAGTTTCCGATCAGTCGAAGAAGTGATATGTCGCTTTGGTGTGCCTCTAGAAATCCATTCCGATCAGGGCAGGAACTTCGAATCGCAAGTATTCCAGGAAGTGTGCAGAATTTTGGGCATGCATAAGACAAGGACAACCGCGTACAAAGAGAAAGCGTCAAAAGAGTCAGCAGGTCTTTCTCTCCAAATCCTTCGAACCCTAACACGTAACAATATGCTTTGTGACCTTTACAAATGAACTTTACGTTACAGTTTTATACGTAAGTGTGTCTAAAAGTTCTTTGTGACTTATAGTTTTGGAAAAGACCGTTTTACTCTGTAAGCATCTCTATGTTGTTCTAGTTTAAAGAATGTAAATATTTAATACAATTTTAAAAAGTTATCCTCCATATGTGTGTCCATTTATTGTCGCGATTGTAAAGAAACACTGTATATATAATAGGACATGTTAGTAAAACTTCAAAAGAGTCAGCAGGTCTTTCTCTCCAAATCCTTCGAACCCTAACACGTAACAATATGCTTTGTGACCTTTACAAATGAACTTTACGTTACAGTTTTATACGTATATTGCAATCTTTCACTTCTTTCTCAGAAAGTTAAACATTCAAAACTTGCTGAAGGTGTGGAAGCAGCTATATCCGATAAAAAATATGTCACTGGTGTTGACACAAGTCAGGTGGATATGTGCTACCCGCCTATAATCCAATCAGGAGGGAATTACAGTCTCAAGTTTAGTGCAGTTTCTGATAAGAATCACCTGCATTTTGGCTCCATTGTATGCTCCTTGGGAGCCCGCTATAAGTCGTACTGCTCAAATATCGTCCGTACATTGCTGGTCAATCCTACTGATGAAATTCAGAGCAATTACAATTTTCTCATAAACCTAGAGGAAGAAGTAATGAAACATCTTGTTGCTGGTGCCAAATTATCAGCTGTTTATGAAGCTGGCTTGGAACTTGCTAAGAAGGAAAAACCTGATTTGGTTGATAATCTCACAAAGTCATTTGGGTGAGTATTTACAATGTGAACATGAATTTTTGGAATATATTAAAACAGATTAATTATATGGATTTATCATGAATATTTTTAATTTTATTTCCTAATTTCTTTCTGATTGCAGATTTGCAATGGGTATTGAGTTTCGAGAGAGCTCAATAGTTATTGGACCGAAAACTGCTGTTGTGGCTAAAAAAGGAATGTTGTTTAACATTAATATTGGTTTAGCCAATCTCACAAATAGTGCTGCTACTGAAAAAGAAGGGAAGGTAATCAATATTTTTTCTTTTAAAGGCCATATAAAGCTTATATGCACCTATATGAAGCTATCATTGTTAAAGAAAAAAGTGCAAAAATAAAGTTATTATTTAAGTTGAACAAGTAGTAGAGTGTAGTAGAACAAGCTGTGTACTTAATATGTGAAAGTACTGATATACACAATTTTAGCGCAAGCTTAGAGCAATATGGATTATGGCGCAAATGAGATAGTGATTTCTAGTAGTAAAAACTGTGTTTCATGTATTTTTGATGAAATTTGCATCTTTAATATTAATTTTTCAGACTTATGCACTATTTATTGGTGATACGGTATTAGTCAATGAAGAACAACCGGCATCGCTACTTACACAATCTAAAAAGAAGATAAAGAATATTGGCATTTTCTTGAAAGATGATGATGAAGAGGAAGAGGAGGAAAAAGAAAACAAGACAGAAATTCTCGGTGAGTATTTAACAAGTGGAGATTTGTGAAAATTTATTTTGGAAGTTGAAATTTTTACTTGACCAAGTGTTTTTAATTAGTAATAGCCCACAACAAAATTGCAAATAGCTTTAAAGGAGAAAGACATCTCATATTACATGATTTTGTGTACAATAATTTTAGAATCAAAAGTACAGTTAAAAAGGTGTTCATTAACAAATTTAATTATATCTAATAATTTGTACATATTCATTTAAGTGTCTGTTTTAGAATTAACAGTCTTAACATGGTCAATATGACTTGATTAAATCTCAACAAAGGTACCCCTTGTTTCCTTATAAATAATTACATTAAAAAAAATCGTGATTTTGTGATACAATCATTCATTTGGATATAGCCATAGTGTGTTTTTTCTTTGAACTCAACTGTTTATGTATGAATGTAATTAATGAATGTGTAACATATGTAATAATAATTTGGTGTTTAATTGGCTATGTCATTTATATAATTTTATTTACTTACATGCAATCCCGGATGGATAGAAAATGGAGGTGAGTTATTTCTTTCTATGAACAACAATGTATTTTGGTAAAGGATGTTGTGGAATTAATAGCAATATTAATGGAGAATTTTGCCAATTATAAATATAGTGTGGAAAGTTAAAAATAAGAGGCTGAAAGTCGTATTTTGCATATTGCTATTTTTTCCTCTTTACTAAAAAAATTCTTGCGCTTTGAATGTTTTATTAACTTAATTGGCGGGCTCAGCGACCCAAAGAGGATCTTGGCCTCCGACACGATAAGACGCCACTGCTCTCTGTTCTGGGCTGTTTCTTGCCAATTGGCTGATTGGAGAGCTCTCAGATCTTTTTGGACTTTGTCTTCCCAGCAATATCTGGGGCAACCAACAGGAAAGCATCCTGTTGGTTGCCCCTTTTGGTTGCCTCAAAATTTTATTAAAATTATAGCTAGAAAATTATTAGCTTTCAAATATTATTAAAACTTGTACCTTATGCTTATAGTATTGTTAGCATTAATTTTGCAATGATTATTACCATAAAAAAAAAAAAAATGAAAATTATTTCTAGCCTTAGTGTTACTTATTATAGTTATGTATATGTTATATATGTGTCGCGTTTTAGGTCGAGGCAAAAGAACAGCCGTGATAGAGTCAAAGCTTCGAACAGAACATTCATCAGAAGAGAAACGTAAGGAGCATCAGAGAGAACTGGCGATAGCCCTCAACGAAAAAGCTAAGGAACGACTTGCGAAACAATCTAGTGGCAAAGACAGTGAGAAAATCCGAAAAAGTACAGTTTCATACAAAAGTGTTAGTCAGATGCCTCGGGAAAATGAAGTGAAAGAACTGAAACTGTATGTTGGTATGTATTATTGAAACTGATTCATATGTAGTTAATAAACATAGTTTGCTTCATATAAAAATGAAATTACAATGTGATTAAAAGAGTGGGAAAATGAAATTATCTTATAAGAACAAATCAATATGATTTGTTCTTATAAGATAATTTCATTATGGAATCTCATGCATATTATTAAAGTTAATGTCAAAAACAAATTTTTCATTTTAGATCGAAAATATGAAACGGTGATATTACCAATATTTGGTGTACCCGTACCATTCCACATCTCCACTATAAAAAACATCTCCCAGTCAGTTGAGGGTGACTACACATACCTTAGAATAAACTTCTTTCATCCTGGTGCCACAATGGGCAGAAATGAGGGTGGAAACTATTCACAACCTGACGCCACATTTGTTAAAGAAGTGTAAGTGTGTATCTCTTTAAATGATGAATTCCTTTGTTGAAAAGCCAATGAACAATGTTTAATGAACAAACATTAATATTTTTTTTGATCATTTATTTATTTAAACTTTATGCGCACACTAGTACAAAGGTGGACTTAATGCTAATGGCATTTTAGTTGTGTTAGAAGTGTTTAGCTGATGATTATTACTGTATAAAAATATTCATGTTCGTATTCGTTCATATTCGTTATTTTTACAGAACCTACCGCAGTACAAACACAAAAGAACCTGGTGAAATATCACCACCGTCTTCCAATCTTAACACTGGCTTCCGTTTAATAAAGGAAGTACAGAAGAAGTTCAAAACGCGGGAAGCGGAAGAAAGGGAAAAAGAGGATCTTGTCAAACAGGATACATTAGTACTCTCCCAAAGTAAAGGCAACCCAAAACTAAAAGATTTGTACATAAGACCAAACATTGTCACAAAAAGGATGAGCGGGTCGCTAGAAGCGCACACAAACGGTTTCCGATTCACTTCGGTCCGAGGGGACAAAGTGGATATTTTGTACAACAATATTAAAAACGCCTTCTTCCAGCCGTGTGATGGAGAAATGATTATTCTATTGCATTTCCATTTAAAACATGCTATTATGTTTGGTAAGTTTATGCGGTTCGTAGCTTACGCTTTAACTTACAAAATTTTATGTAATATGATAATTGTAGAATACTTAACACATAAGTAGCAGTCTTTAAACGCCTTTATAAATATTGTATAATTTTTGTCTATGACAACACTGGCAACGATATTAAAAAACGGAAGAACTGACACGATCGCTCTGACAAGTTTTGAATAATTGTGAAATTATAAATTTTTATGTTAGTGCCCCTTACGGTTTTATTAGGATTCTTAACATAAAATGGTCCTTCGAGCAGGATTTTAACGAGCGACCTATGAATAAGCATAACAAGATTGTTCACTTGCCATCTATTCCTGAATAGTAGATTGTAGTTGAGTGGTAACTACTAAGTCTTCTCTATTTAATTGGACTGATTAGAAATACAAACAAATATGAAATGAGACAAATGTTTTGCATCACCCTTTTTAAATTGCATCATCATCTATTTATAAGATCGGGTCAAATTCTCTCTAACTCATGCTGAAGCTTATACTGCAATCTTATATAGACTAACAGAAAAACAAGAAGATCTATTGTAGTCTTCCCTTCGCATCTAGACAGTTTCCTCCAAACCAAAAACCCTTACAAAGTTGATAGTTGATGAGGCAATAAAGGTAAGGGCTTCCTTGGTTGCCAACTTGGTCGCTCCCAGTTTCCGATCGCTAATATTGACCAGAGCATCGGAAATTATGTGAGGCGGTGTCTCCACATCATTACCGCAGAATCCACAGAGTGGGCTTTCTGCCTATCCCATTGTGTTTAAAGTGAAGTAACGTGTGTTAAACAAAAATATTTCCGTCCACTTTCCAGGCAAGAAGAAGCATGTGGACGTGCAGTTCTACACGGAGGTGGGCGAGATCACGACGGACCTGGGCAAGCACCAGCACATGCACGACCGAGATGACCTCGCCGCAGAACAGAGCGAACGTGAGCTTCGACACAAGCTGAAGGTCGCCTTCAAGAGCTTCTGCGAGCGCGTCGAGAACATGACCAAGCAAGAGGTAGAATTCGACACGCCCTTCAGGTACGGAGGCAACCTTGCCGTCTGAGATTGCCTTGGATTGGCCTGCATGCTGAGAAGCATGGTCCACATCTGAGGAAACCCGACCCTCAGGGAAACGCCCCGCTCATCTATTGACGTAAGCGCCGCTCACTGAAAACTTAGGCCCAGGAGTTGATTTGTATCATAGAAACATTTAATTTTATTTTAGTTTTACAAATTACCTACATAACGGTTATGGTGTATGGTATTTATTTTTAGCCCATGAATGAGTAATTCAAACTACGATTTAAATAAAAAACGAATAGTAAATTTCGAAACAAATATTTCAAGACAATGGCGGCAAGTTAAGTTGTCATTATTTAAGAAAGTGGTAAGTGAGCTGGCATTTCACCAGATTTTAAGTGTTAACTGCCGCCCATGGACATTTGTAACATCCGTAGGTTTAGCAGATAGGTCGCTACGTTATAATAAAGTCGGCCTCGTCTGCCTCGCTCACCAGACGAAACCCAGAAGTTTAACACTTCCACTTTACGCCGGTCTGTGAGGTACTTACCCGGACCAACCTGCCCATTCTTGCAACAGCGAACTGTTGCGTGGCCCTACCACAGTTAAATGAGAATTTTTAATTTTGTTTCCCAAAACGATAATAGCACAGCTCTAATGTGCATTAGATCTCGTCTCGCCTGTTAACATCAAAAAACACAATTGCTCCGTGCAGAGAGCTCGGCTTCCCCGGCGCGCCGTTCCGCAGCACCGTTCTGCTGCAGCCGACTTCGGGCGCGCTGGTGAACCTCACCGAGTGGCCGCCCTTCGTGATCGCCCTCGAGGACGTGGAGCTGGTGCACTTCGAGCGCGTGCAGTTCCACCTGAAGAACTTCGACATGGTGTTCGTGTTCAAGGACTACGCGAAGAAGGTGGCGATGGTGAACGCCGTGCCGATGAACATGCTCGACCACGTGAAGGAGTGGCTCAAGTGTGTCCCTCAAATTGTTATCTTATTTTCCTCTAGTACAACATTTTCTCTTAACCTACAGATATGCACAATATATCCCCGCTTGCCCCTCCGACCGGGTTCGCGCCTTGACGTGGCGGAGGGGCTAAGTAGCCGTGGCTTGGTCCCCCACGGCGAAGCTAAGAGGAACATACTGGGCCGGCCTGTGGTGTAAGGCCGGCCCGAGAGGGCCGCTCCGAGTGGGCTCATTGAGCCCCCTCTGGATGCGTGCTGGAGGGTGCAGGGAACAGGTCGAGGGTGGTAGAGGTGGAGCCACTCTCCCTGTCTTTTGTTACCGAGGAGGAGTCGCGGGGGAAGAGGAGTATCGGTATTGCGTTGGCCGTGCTCCCTATCCTCCGCGACTCGGCGGGGCTGCACCTCTGATGCAGTGGTGGCGGGGTCGCGGGGGGAGAGGAGTGTCGGTATTGCGGTGCGCCGTTCTCCCTATCCCCCGCGGCCGAAACGTGGTGAGCGGTGGAGCCACAGACCAGGTCCGCCGCTGGGTGCTGGGAGGCTTGCTGCTTATTAGCACTGGCTCTCCTGGCTCCCATGGCCCCGGTCACCGAACTCGGGGGAGTTCGTTGGCTGTGAAAATGGGGCCGAGTAGGAAGGCGCGCTGAATGTTCCAGCGCGCCTTACCTGGAGGAGAGGGGAGTTGCTCCCCGTGAGGGGGCTGCTAAGGCGGCCAGGGCTGGTAGGGTCGCGGAAGTGTGCGAAAGCGTTCCCGTGACTCTGCCGATATGCGCCTAGGTGTAACATCGTGGGGGTTTAGTCGGTGCGAGTGCGACTTGCCCCCGGCGAGGGCGGGTATGCGTAGGCCTTTCCCCCACGTCAACAAAAAAAAAGCCTTGCTTGCATACGTGTGCAGCTATTGAGTGGAAAACTACAATTTTAAAATTTACCCATTGCTACTTTCCCACTTTTATTTATTTTTAAATGCCTTATATTTGTTGAAATTCAGCTGATCTCACTGAACCAACCTATTTACACAATTTAGCCATTGAAAATTTTAATGTTTAAACCAAATCAACATTTGAAAATCGTATACATGTTGGAATGGATTGTTCTCTATTTGTGTAAGGAAAACAAGAACCTGAGGCACATTTATAGTATAAGTTGTTTATGTACCGATAATAAAGCGGGTTCTCTCGTCCCTATATGAATTAGTATATACTTTAATCGTTATCCTTCCGCAGCTCATGTGATATTCGCTACTCCGAAGGCATACAGTCTCTCAACTGGACCAAAGTTATGAAAACGATCACCGACGACATCGAAGGCTTCTTCGACAACGGCGGCTGGTCGTTCTTAGATCCGGAATCTGATGCCGAAGACGCGGCACAGGTGAGTTTTAAGCCAATTACTTAGTGGAAAACTGGAAATGATAAGTTTAACCTTTCTCCACTATCATCTATTATTGGAAGTAAGAATTAAGGACAGTGTCCATCTGAACACAACCTAATTAGGAAGATCTAACATTATAGTTGGTGAATATTATCGTCATAAAATTACTGTGGTAGGGTCACACAACAGCTTCTGCTGTTTTACGATTGGGCGGACTCGTCAGGGGAAGTACAAGTAACAAAAAATATGGCGAAAGACAGTAATTTTGGCTTGTAAGAAATATGAAAAACTTCAAAATAGTTGAACAATTTATTTGAAACGATTTCAGGACGAGGAATCTGAAGAAGAAGACGACGCCTATGAACCGACGGATGTCGAGTCTGAAGAAGAGTCGGACGATGACTCCGAATATGACTCTGAGGCTTCTGACGCGTCTGAGGGCTCCGGTGATAGTGAAGGTCTTGCCCATGTAGTTCTATCTAAATATATACATTTGGATCTTCTCTGTTACGGCTTGAAGAAGATATTTTTGTGTCTTGCTTTATTTGGCATTAGATTTTTACATTATAATAATCAGCGGCCTCAAAAATAAAATCTTAGAGGATTCTGTGCCGCCAAAAGGTGCACTTTTTATCGCATAAAAGAGCTTGTTCAGTTTGATTCCTACTTTTTCTGCAGTTCTGAGTGTGCACATGAATTGCACAATTTAATCCCCCCACATACCTTTCATTGTGGGATAATTAGAGTCTAAGCATGACTCCATACTTTTGTTGTCGACTTTCCCCACGATTTAACAATTAAAACAGTTTTCCAGTTAAAGTTTAATGTAGATCAATCAAGGCTAGCTTATTCACTCGTATAAGCTTTTACTAGTGTGTTCCATCACCATCTAACACCATCAGGTAGAGTGGTAGTCAAACACCGGCCAATGTCCAATATTTGATATGCAATCGTTAAAATGAACTTCCGAATAGGTATAGGGAAAATACAAATAGAACATTGCCATTATAAATCAAATGATTAACAGTAAGTGTCTTACGCTAATAGAGGAGGACGAGGAGTCCGGCAAAGATTGGTCGGATCTGGAACGGGAGGCAGCGGAGGAAGATAAAAAGGAGCGCAACTACGACGATTTCGATAGGAAGAGGAAAGGCGGCCGCGATATGCCGCGCAACTTCGACTCGGAGGAAGGCCGCAGCAAGAAGAGCAAGCACGACAAGAGCTCCAGCCACAAGAGCTCAAGTCACAAGAGTTCCAGCTCGAACCACAAGAGTTCGAGTCATAAAAGCCCCTCTAAACACAGCAACAGCAGGTATGATCAGCTGTCGTGTTTCTTTTTGTTTCTAAATAATACACCCCTTCTCTATTCCAAATACAATAAAACCAAAGATTATTCTTATAGCTTTCTCCGCATTTTTTTAATTATCAGCGTAGTAAGCAACATGGCACTCTTTTAATTTTATTTTGGTAGTCTGAGGTCTCTGTAGGTGTCGTTACACCAAGCGGTAATATACAAAAACGTGAGTTTTTGTCCCGATCGCTACGCACAGTGCGTAATAATAATTGGTATACGCAATTTTTTTTTGTGGAAACTTTAAGCGGACTGAGCACTTTATTTTATGTGTATTGAATGCGACTGAATGGTTACGCTCGTTGGGATAAAGTCGTTGAGGGAACGAGATAGCTATAGTTGAAGCGGCACAGCTATATTCGCTCGAAGATTTTAAGTGTCTGTCCACACGGCACGTTGCGTTATCGCAAGATGCGTCACGCACGCATCAGACGCATTTTTTATTGACATAAACGCGGTATGTGGCGCGCATATTATACGTTTCATTCAATAAGTTGTTTAATATTATACGCGTATATTGACTTGCTGTGTTGTACTAGTTGGGAAAATATTTCGCGCTGTTACGTAAATTAATTTAAAATTTTATTACTTTATGAATATAGAACAAAAAAAGTTTCATATTGTCACTGTCGTGTGTGGTCTTATCTCAAAAAATATCTTATTTATAATTTTGTAGTTTAATTAAAAAATAACAATAATTTTGCAATTCAATTAATTTATTCCGCTCATATAGCCCTTCGAAAAACCGCGACAAGCACCACAAGTCGTCGCATTCGGAAAGAGATCACAAATCCTCCCATAGCAAGTCCAACAGCAGCAAATCCAATGGAGACCACAAGAAACACTCCAGCGACAGCAAGTCTCACAAGCGCTCCAGAGACGACAGTCGGGATCACGATCGCAGTTCCAAGAAAGCAAAGTAAGTTCAACTTATGCCATGAAATTGATAATTCTTACGTCAAAGAGTCATATTAACATGGATTTTAGTTTAGTTTATTAAAATGTAGGCGGAGGATGCAGGTTCGAATTCTAGTAGCGACAAACTTTTCGTTCACTTTTCCACAGATTAAACATCATATCAAGTGCAGAGAATAGCACCATAAAAATTTATATAATTCAGATATTATACATATAATATTTAAATGATATTAATTGCCAATACAAATGTCCTAGAGCCGTGATAGCTCAGTGTCCGGGCGCTCGCGTTTAATTCAATATACTCGAGCAACCTGAGTTCGATCCCCGGTGCCGGCACCAATGAAGTTTTTAACTTTAAGTGCTGACTTATCACGTGCTCCGCGTAGAAGGAAAACATCGTGAGGAAACCTGCATATTTTCGAAATAATAACAAAAAATATATATATTTCGAAGATATGTGAAGTCCGCCAACCCGCAGTGGGGCCGCGTGGTGGTCTATGCCCTGATACTCTCTCTATAGAGGAGGCCTTTGCCCAGCAGTGGGACATGTATAGGCTGTTACTTTACTTTTACTTTACTTTACAAATGTCCTCAAGGCAATAGTGATTCAGTCTTTACCACCTCATGGTCATGCCCATTTATATTATTCTAATAAAATTATAGAGGTCTGCCACTATGTCCTCATCACGGCATAGGGACCAGAAAGATTTCAGTTAATTCTTTTAAGTTTTATTTCATAAACGCTTTTTCTTTATCAAAAGTGTGTTCATTAAGTGCACTTTTAGTTTTAAGAAACAACAATTATTATAAGCACTACATGTACAGTGATGAGTTTTCTTGCCGTGGAGATGTCAAGCAAGCAGAGTTATTATTAAAAGCAGTAATTAGTCACATGACGTATATCAGCTTATAATAAAATTTAATAAATTCAGTTTAATACAAAAATAAATAATAATTTAATTCAAATAACAGTTACATTTTTGGTATATCATAATAAATAACTACAGAAAATATGGTAATGTTTTGTGAAGTTTTTATTGGTTTTACTCAATTGAACTGAATCATTAAAATTTGGTTTAACAGTGTATTTTTTGTATGCATGATAAAATACTTTTTAGCCTGTATTTTATAGTAATATATGAATACAATAATGCCAAAATTATATTATTACATCAGTGATTAATTGATTAATATTTTCTGTTTCAGAAAATAACGGGAGACCAAGCATAGTTCTTATAATTTTTGAAGAAACGGGTTTTCATTTGCCGCTGGCTTTATGTTCTTACTTAATTTTGTTATAAAATCCAATTTAAACCCACTGTCCGTCTGTTTCAATTTCAAATTGAGTTGTCTGAATGTTTGTATGTAATGTAGATTTATTTTTAAATTCCAGCATTATTGTAATTTAAATTATAGCAACAAAAAAAAACAAAATAAATATAAGATTTACTACTATTTGTATAATTCATTTTAATTTATTCTTAGTCATAAGTCAAAAGTGCCGTTAAGACAATAAATTAATTAGTAACATAACATTTATGGTCGGGACTGATTTATTATCTTACATCTCAAGCTAAATCAATAGCAAATTATTATTGTACACTATTTACATAACAAAAACTAGCTTCTACATATTTGTAGGTTTCTCAAACGTCAATTTAATGAAACATCCTTATCCTGTGCAGTAACAATGGGGCCTCTCGGCAATACTGTAATTCTCTTTGACTCTGGTAACTTATTGACTTCATGCGATTTTAGAGAGTCCTTATTTTCTTGTGTCTCACTCGAACTCCAATATTTCTTATTGACTAGCATAAGTAACATCAATGCAGGTAAATGTATCAGAGAGAATCTAAACAATTTCCTTGAACTTCCACTGTCAGATTTTTTGTAGAACTGCCAAGCTAAAAATAAAATAAAGATCATGACAAGGCTAAATTTAAAGTATGTCATAATAAACATTTGTTATGCTATACATACCTAAGTACATAAAATATATGTTTAATGGCAAAGACTCCAATGCAAACCACATATTTGTCACTTCCAAGTATGATGATGCCAGACAAGTTGCTGTTATAATGCCAGTGTGTCTGAGAGCAACCCTTCTACATAAACCTGTAACAGTAATTTACAATAAATGTATAATCAGAGAAATTTATTTAATAAAAATATCTATTATCGGTTTTTGTAGAAATTAGGGTTAAAATATTTATTTCTATTCCCCTTTATCACAAAAAACTAAAATTATTTATCAAGCTTACCGGGATCAGTAACAGCCATCATCCTGTAACCAGCACGTGAGTAGTCCGGTCGTAAGTTCCACGAGAGTGCATTGAAGTGCGGAAACTGCCATGAGTATAGTACAACACCCAACACTAGGGCGCCAGCGTCCAAACTTCCCGAGCAGCCAGCCCACCCCATCAATGGTGGTATTGCACCGACTGAGTTATAATAAATTTAACATTAGATATTCCTTTAGTTTTCTAGAATGGGTTCTTGTGTATGTGCCACAATTGCCACTTGTTAATTTTGAGTACTAAACTAATTAATAAAACAATTATAAAAATACTTTTTTATGTGCAATTATAAAAATAAACGGTATCCATTACTTATCATGGTATGATTTGTCTTGAATTTCATTATCCGGTATCTGGCCGGATAGTGCAAACAAGGATAGTTACCAGATATCCGTTTCTTCTCTAATTTTATACTCAAATAAGTGTGTATAATTGCATTAAAAAATATATATATATATATATATATATATATATATATATATATAACAAAAAGAACAAGACCGCAGAGTTTCTTGCCGGTTCTTCTCTGTGTAGGTCTAGTTTAGTGAACCGGTGGTAGATTTTTGTTGACGTTCAATAAGAGCTTAAGTTAGGCCTATATTGAATAAATATACTTTGACTTTGACTTTAATAATTAATCATTACAAGTACATAACTTTATTATGCCTGATATCATTTTGCATTTGGAGATGTAGATCAGCACCTAATATATATGTCATTTCTTATGAAGTAAATACTTATTACTAGGTTTCTACTTCACATTAAGTCAATAAATATTTAGCATAACTTACCTACTGAACCTAGCCATGTATTTAGAATTGACATCCTCTTCATGGGAGTATAAACTGATGTATACAAAATAAGGTTTCCCGCACCCAAAGCAGCTGTTAGGGGGTTGACACCAAAGTATAATATACTAAGCCCAGTCGCGCTTGTTAAGGCCGCAAAGCTGATGGCGTGAACAGGTCTGAAAATGTGAAAATATTTCAAATTAATTACCTTAATCAATAAACTATGACAAATAAAAGAAACAATGAAATTCACAATGTCATGTGACAGAACTCATTTAGTTCCAAACAATAAATGTAGCCTTATTACCCATTAGATATTAGCCTTATTACTCTAGCTATGTGACAATGATTTTTCTAGATAAAAAATCCAACATGGATTAATAAATATCCCAAACTACTTTTATAACATCCTATGTTGTGTTTAGATTTAGAAATAGTTTATAACTGAATACTAAGAGCTTGGTTTGAGCAACATAAGTCAAAGTAAAAGTCAAATATCTTTATTCAATATAGAAGCATTACACTTACTTACCAAAACTCTACCACCAAGAATATAATACAAGTTTTATTATTATAGGCTCTGTTATATATTTCTAGCTATTAATATAAAGTAATAATAGTGAAACTTATGTATCTTGGTTAAATTTTGAAATAGGAAGTTTACATTTAAGAAAGAGACTATCATTATAATATCATCATAACTCATACCTATACAGCGTGTCGTTACCACCGCCACAATAAATGAACACACATATAGAGGATAACTTTTTAAAATTGTATTAAACATTTAGATTCTTTAAACAACAATATTTACCGAGTTATTAAATTATCCAAAACAAACAATTTTAGAACACCCTTACGTATAAAACTGTAACGTAAAGTTCATTTGTAAAGGTCACAAAGCATATGAATGGGTTGAATGAATTTAAAAGAGACAAAACATACTGTTAGAAGGAGAGGCTTGTAATGCGACGCTGTGGCGCGAGTTGTATAGGATGTTACAAATTTTGTTTCTTTTTTACTTAATTAGTTTGTTTGAAAAATATTTTTTTTAATTATGGATTTTGTTTAACGTTAACATTTTTTTATGATTATTGGCAAGTAGCGTTAGACGTGTGTTCATTTATTGTCGCGATGGTAACGACACGCTGTATAATAATAAACCTTGATTAAAAAATATTCAGATGTAATTTCATTGTGTCACATGTTTTTCCTCTTTTAAAAATGTACAAACAAATATTTAAAGTATTGTTTGCATGAATTATATTTGAGACATTGTCAAATATAATTATATACAAAAAAAAACAAAGTTATGACTCATAACAAGAAAGATTTTTCATGTTACATTAAGTTTCTGTGGCAGTAAAAGGGGGTATGAAAAATAGCAATGACTTACTCCAACAGCCCTTTAACAAGCACTCTGTTTTTTGTCCGTGACATTTGGGCATCAAATGGTACTTCATGATACTGATTAATAGAATTTGCAGCTGAAGACACTAGGCCAGTACCAGCCGCACACAGGGCAAATGTTGTAAAATTAAATGGTGCAGGTGCTAAAGCATAGCCTGCCATTGATGTCATTACTACAAGTGCTGAAAAAAATATTTCTTCAAGGGTATTATTCTTACGTTTTCAGTTTTGGTGAATAATAATTCTTTAAAAGACTAATAGTAACTGTTTTTAAGACATTAATTTTGAATGCAATTTTTTTCATGTTAATAAGAATGCAGTTATTGTAAACTTACATGTTAATCTAAATTTTGATAGCATCATACAGTAATTGCCCAGGTTGTTTTTTATATCATGAGTAGGTGTTTCTTTCCATATTCTCGTGTCTTGTGGTGAATTTTTAGTTTTTACACTAGATGAAATCTGGGTTTGGGTAGTAAGTGGTAGTTTACTTCTCCAGCAGTGAGTTGTTGATAGTGTAGCCAATTGCTGTATTGGTTTACCATTCTAGAATAATAAATAATTTAGTATAGCTTTAAATAAATCAAATAATAATAATATTAATATATGCAGCAAAAACTTTGTACCCCTTTTTACGAAAATTGCACAGATGGAGGAGTATGAAATTTTCCACACTTATAGTTTCTGTAGAGTAGGAGTGCTGAATGCGAATATTTTTTTTTAAATTATGCATAAAAATACAAAAATAACATTATTGTTAGTCTGATCAAATTGAGAATAGATTTATATTGTTTTAACTTGTAATTTAATTTAATTATGGTTGAATTTCAACCACTGAGCGACCACTAGTAACAATAATTCTAACTAAAATTAAATAAAAACTAGGCTCTTATATGAAAAGATAGCACTTCAGTAGTTTCTTTGAACCCTTTTAGAAGCCATTGAAGCTTTTCACAATTCTTTCTCTATGCAATACCTATATATAGTTATAGATTAAAAAAAAAACTTTTCTTATGTGAACAAATGTTTCAACAACACAATAATTATTATTTTCTGTAATCTCTGTTTTTACCATTAATACAAGGTTATTATGTTTAGATTCACTTACACCAATTTTGAACAGCAGAGATTTTGTAGATAGACCGTATGAGCCATGCTTTAAGCATAAGCTGCAATGCAAGACTTTGAGGTAGGACATGGTGAGGAAGTCAGGGCACCCAATCCTCAAGTTAACATCCTAAAGAACAAATTTTTTTACATAATAATATATAACATCACCAACGAAATATATATATCTATATATTAGGTTATAAACATAAGCAATATATTATGTAACGAACGTTGCTAATTTATTAGATGGATTGATAACACTCGATAAAGTACTTAAATATTATTAAATTGCAAGACACTGAATATTACTTTTTATTTACTTACTTAATTAATGAGCTTTTTCTGAGGAGTAAACAAATAAAAATTACATATAATTGCTAACAGTATAGGTTATACATGCAACAAGAGCGAATGACGTTTCAGACCAATGGTTCTCAAAGTGGGCAGTATCGCCCTCCAGTGGACGGTGAGGCTGTCTGAGGGGCCGATGGAAAATTGAAATAATATAGAGGTGCTAAATTAAAATTTGAGGGCGATGGAAAATGAACGGTATGTCTAAATTCAGTTGCGGCTACACTGTCCAGAAATTTCACTTATTTACAATTAATTGTTAGTATTGCAACGGTAATTTCGATACATTAATGGCACGGTATTTTTCACTTACAAATATTTTTAATCGATGCCATTAATAATTACAAAGTAAAAATTATTGGTGACATTTTGTAGAAAAAATTCTATTCAGTGACGAATATTATAATTGCTCCACTTCGCGAGGCTCCTTAAAATATAAAAATGTGGTTTAACGAACCTAACGTATAAGTTTGAAATAAATATTTAATATCATTTATATTAATTTATCAATAATACTGTTTATAAGTATACTGTATCACTGTAGTCTCTAACAAATTTATAACATGAATCCCTGCTAATATTATTGACAATAATAAATTTTATACTCAACGTAATGGTAAATTGCAATATTTAATTTTTTAATGTCTCTGAAAATTTTTAATTCGTAATCATTAACTGGGCTATATTTATTTATCAATTAAAATATTTGTAAGTGAAAAATGACCGTGTCGTTAATGTAAACAATTACTCTCTCTAGGCCTCAAATGAAATGCAGGCAGTACAGTGCCGAATATAGCTATATTATGTCTTCTTGAAATAGTTCTTAACCTATGTATCTGATATGTCCTAAATTTTTTCTCCAACGAAGCCATGAAGGCATCAAAACTTCAACAACATTTGTCAAAATTCTATTCGGATAAAAAGGATACAGCTATACAATATTTTCAATAAGGAACAGTTTATAAAACAGTCTACGTTTCCCGACATATTTCTGTAAAGAATTTTTGGGGCGTTGGGTAATAAATTTTTCTTAACGAGAGCGGTACATCAAAAAAATTTGAGAAACACTGTTTCAGACCATTTCAGACTTCAGTGATCTCGACAGTCAAGTTGACATTCGTTAAATGTCAAAGTCAGTGGATCTCTATCATAGAGTAAAGTAATACTACTGATCTCTATGCGAAGTCCATGTTAGAAGTGTCAGTTCTATGGCTTTTTTCTGTAGTCCGGCGGCTTTGAGTATATGTATTTAGAGTAGGAGGAGCTATACTAGGTTAAATCGAGTACCTGTTACGCCTGGTCCTGTTCCTTAAAAGTAACACTGACATATACCTGTTACAAAATAACAGCCTGTTATTTCATACAGGTCACACCTGATTCTGTAACTGTTACCATAGAGGTCCCTGTTATTTGTAACAGTTGTTTTCATTGGTTGTTACTAGTTACAAATTCTAAGTCGTACATGTTTTGTAGCAGAAAAACAATATCATGTGGATTGGGATTGTATAAATAAATAAAAATATCAAAAAAATAAGCTTATTAAATAATCCTTCATGCTTTTACAGGCTTAGAACAAAAACATTAAACAAAAAGAACAACAACGATAATGTCAATATTACGAAACGGTAATATTCGGATAAGTTCTTTGCATGTGACGTGACGCCTGACCCGTTCAACTTTATAACAAAATTTTGATTTCTTTAAATCAACATTTTATGTGTGGTTTTCACGTTACATAAAAAATATTTATATGAAAATTTAATCATTGTTCACCGTTAATGTGGTCATAGTAACTTTGTAAAAATATATGCACTGCATATCCGATCATAGTAACAGGTATAGAAAGTATCATTGCTGCATGTCTGTACTCCTCACTTTTCTTTCTAACAAAGCTAAATGACCCATGCAAGAAAAATAAAGAGCATGTCATAGTGACAGACGACAGTGTTCAGTAACAAGTAATAACTGTGACAGGGTGTAACAGCCTATTACGTAACAATTTGTGTGGAACAGTGGAACAGGAACTGTCATGTATAATAATAATGAATAATAATGTAATTCATTGTTTGTTCGTAACAGGTACAGTCTGTTATCTCACCTGTTATATTTACCTGTTACGATAAATACGCCTCACTTCTAATTTAGAGGTTGCGGTAAACGATAAGGGAGAACGAGCTAGTCGCATCAACGATGACAACACGATCACACCATACACTCCGCAGCACCTCCGCGGCCTCTGTTAAAGTGATAACGAAAGATGGACAGTTAGACTAACGAGGGGAACGACTACAAAACGATCATCGATAGAGGAACCTATCCCGATTTAGTAATAACAACGATCGGTTGAACGCGAACTAATGGGAGTTAAATATTTAAAAGAACAGAGTACAAAATTACCCGCTCCCTCTGCATAGATCGGACACGAAATTAATAATTCAAAAACTGACGGTAGCCCGGGTTAACTATGACAATTAGACATCTAACACCTCAGTTTGTCCCTTGACCATGAACGCTGTAAAGGGTTCGAAACGTCGGGAATAAAAACTAAAAATAAACGTGATAATACCGTAAAATTAGTTTCATTTATAATCAATCAATTCACGGAAACTATTAATTTTTGAAAACGAAAGTATCATGGCATATCAAGCAGGTTTGCTATTAATTACCATTAATAAGACGTTAGCGAAGTCCCCCATATGACGTTGTTGATCGATTAATTTCGCTAATAGAGAATCGAAGTTACCGAAAAAAGGTCAGGGGTTCACACACACTCGCAAGCAAGAAAATAGTAAGTGAGGGAAAAATCACTATTCGGGCAACAGCTCCATTGGAAAAAGGTCAAATATCTTGGGGTCACGTTTATTGGCAACATGTCGTTCCGCACCCTTATTGTAACCGTTAAAAAAAAGCCGCAAGCTAAGATTTCGACTACCCATAGTCGAACAGCCAAAAGGTGAGTATAGACTACAATATTTTCTGGAGCATTTCTGTGTAATGTAACGTTCTTACGAATGGTACAATACACGCAAAAGCGAGTGTGCATTTACCAACATTCCGTTGTACCTTGCGTTCATTCTTTTTTGAAATGTCGGACCTACAAGTTGCGTGTGCTGCGTTTATCTTGATGAATTATATTAGAAGAAAAAAGAAAAATATAAATAGAAGATGGTGGCAAATGAACATTTATAATAGAAGACAAATTCTTGGAGGTGTGCAATTAATGTTAGACTTAAAATCGCCTGCACTCGTGGCTCGACGAAATGTTACACCAATACGCTCGACTAAATGTTACACCAATATGCAATATGGTTTGTAACAAAGAGGCGAGCGTGCTCGACGTTTAGTTCGTGAAAGGATGAATACACTAGAACATATCATAGAGCGGCTCGTTGTTCTGTTACAAGTAAATGTTGTAGTCTTTACTCACCTTAACATAACCAGCGCGTGCACACACACGTATGTCTCTATTGTACTACCCTCCCAAAATAAAATTAACAAAATAAAATGAAATAAATTTAACCGAAGATGAAATGTAATATAAAAATGTCATATATCATTTTCAGTTGACGAATCACAAAAACAGCTCTTATGTCTTACTGTCGTTGTATGTCACATGCCTATCTGAAGCGTTAGCATCTCTACCATATCTGTGTAGCCTCCAGGTAATTTAATAGAAGGGTCAATAGAAGGTAAATAAGTGATCCAACATGCTTCGAATCGGAGTAGGCGAAGTGAACAGCTTTCTCCCATCGTTTATCATGGCAATGGCTTGTATAGACCTACCCACATAATCGGTAGTCGGTTTGCTGATCTATTCGGCTTATGGTCTATCCAACTCGTGCAAACTAGCTTTTCCTTGGATTTGGTATTACATGAAACTTTTGACAATATTGTCACTAGAATAAAAGCGTAACTTTTAGTTAATTTATGACGTTAGCGACTCAAAAGCGATAGAATATTGTTTGGAGGCTGCGAATTTGGGACCTTGCACTCACTCCTCCTTGTACTCCTTGAACCTTCGAGTGCGCTAAGCCAATTGTATGTTTGTTAATGTATGTATTGAATGCCATGCTAGACGCGTTGAGGCAATGGCGTAAGCTGACAAAATTCTGAATGGGTTAACCATTCAGGATTTTGTCAGCTTGTCCTAGACGCGAAGCAATGATGGGCATTGGTGGAGATAGATTAAAAATATTTATCGCTTGATTTAATGTCTCGTTCGGATCATCTATTACAATCAAGTCAGTGTGCGGTATTGGTACTGAATGCTTTAACCAAGGGAAGGTAGCATAATAAAACATTTGAATATTATAGAAAGTGAAGATTAATTAAAAAGTCATCAGATTGACTGATAAAACATAATTTCGTTAAATAATCAGAGAATAAATCCAGGCATGATGTCTTAAAATATTTATAAATAAAGATGTTCACTTGTTTAAGTGTTTTAGTTGAAAATTGTTATGGTAGGCCCATTGTTCTATAATATACAAAATTATAGAAGATTATTTATGGGAAGAGAAAGGGGACGCGTGGTTAATTACAGAAGTTTTAACTTTCGAAACCTTCCTCTGGACAGGTAACACAACCGATCGTAGTCCAAGCAAGGGTTCAAGCCTCCGTATGAAGGGCCTTTGGATCTTGTCGTATCTCCATTTATTATTCGAACTTTCCATCTTAAGTTAACAAGGGAAACGGAGATGCCGCGGAGCAGATGCCGTTTCTTTTTGTCGTGGTGCATGAGATACGTTATGTTCCTAAATCCGCGGTTCATCTGCAAAACTCCTACCCCGAAGTGTCAAATTCACTGTACAAAAATAAACTATTCCAAAAAAGCGGAAGAAGAGGAAAAATGATATGAAAAGCAAGTGAATATGTAACACGTAAGCAACTAAGAAATCTACTGTAACTTCCTGTTCATTTTTAGTATGTTTATCATGTAACTTGATGATTGTATTCTATCTATTTCTTCATATTGTTATTGATTTTGATTTATTGTGTAACTATTTATTGCCATTAAAGTAACATTTAAGGAGAGATTTTTGTATCACCCAACATTTGCCTAAGTGTTTTCATATGCTTGACCAATTACCATTTTTTTGCTAGAATTTGTTATTGTGTAAAGTTATATGCCAAATATTACTCAAGTCGGAGAATTTTTGTTTTGAACACAGGTTGTGCACCGTGGTTCAACAGGCTATTGGATGATAATAACGTTTTTTAAATGTCCATTTCAAAATTATTTAAAAATTATCATTATTTTGTTAACAGATAAGTCTATTACTTCAAATAACCTTTTTTTAAACATTCGGTAGTTAATAGTACTCAGTGCTGTGTTATTTTATATTTAGTATAATTTTTTAAGGAAATTTTAAGACAGTTTATAGCAACCCATTTTTTTTGTTTTTATTTTGGTTTCATTTGATATTCGAATACGGAAGTGGCTGCTTACCTCTGTTATTGACACTTGGTTTGTGATACATGTTTTCTAGTTTGTTTTGAACCATGTAAGATGATTTAAATTATGGTGAAAGAGTAATTTTCCCTGTATTATTTTTGTCAAACCCTGATAATGGCTTCGAGGGGAGATAAAGGAAATGGAAATGGCGAAGAACAGATCGTTGAGGTAAATCGATTTGGCCTACTTAAAGCTGACAGTTAAACTTGACCTGAGTTATGTATAGCATAATGATTTCGCTGGTTGCAGACTTTGGCGGAGGTGTTCCGATGCTTCATCTGTATGGAGAAGTTGGTGGACGCACACTTATGCCCTCATTGTTCGAAGCTATGTTGCTATGCTTGTGTTCGGCGCTGGCTTACAGAACAACGGTCCCAGTGCCCACACTGTCGGGCTGCTTTGCATTTACACGAGCTGGTAAACTGCCGTTGGGTAGAAGAAGTCACCCAGCAGATTGAGACTATGCAACAAACTAATTCTGCAAGTCAAAGTTTCAGAGACAGGTTTGTACCATACAGATAATTTTTGAAGTTTTACTGACATTTGATTCTCAATGTCTTGAATAACAAATTCTTAATTTGGTCTTCAACTTCTCAAGAATTTATTTTTTATTTATATCTTGAATTATCATGTCATTGTTATTTATAAACATTGCAAATATTGAATCTTTTCGTAAATTTAAAATGGGAGGCTAAATTTAAATTAATCTTTAAAATTTAAATTAAAAATTAAAAAAAAATATCATGTTCACATTATATATTTTATATTTTATTTCTTGCTACAATATAATATTTATTATTGAGGGTAAAATAATGTAAAAATGAATATATTGTAGAGGGAATTGTACTGGTTACAAATCTTATTGAGTCTTATGTATCAAAGTGTGTAAATATGGAGGAGGAGTAGCTTCACATGTATTTAGAAAGAAGATGATATATTTGTCACCAAACTAGGGTCTTCCTACAAAACGAATACTAGCGACACTACTAAAATTAGTACTAGCCACAATTACAGTCCAACAATTGCAAAATTATCATTTGATTAGATATCACAGAAAATTCCATTTATTGTCCAGGTTTGCCTGCATTTCAAATAAATACAACTGTCTTAAATAATACTGTTGACTGTATTTCAAGAATCCACCAAACACACATTATAAGGTCTATTGTCATTGATATACCTTTGACACACATATATCCATCAAACAAATCTGTGATAGGCTTTTGCAAGGGAATGAATAACATGTATTAAATGCGATGAGTTCCAGTGATGAATCAGTTGACATTTACAGACTTGTCAATACTTCTAAATGCTCAATTCTTGTTTATACTCTATTATTAGTCACTTAATGATAATTTTTAAAAAATTCTACTAGTTTTTTATTGAATTGAATGTCTATTGAGCATTCCTAGTAAATGGTGTAATAGATGGTCTCTTTATATAGCTATAATTGGTTTTGAGACAATGGAATTCAGTGGGATATTTTTATAGAACAGTACAATTCTATTATGGGTAATATAGTAAAAAAATGTATACCTATGTAATTAAAGGCAGTCTGTTACATTATTGATTACATTATTGATAGATTCATTATATTATTGAACAGCATTATATTATTGATAGATTCATTGGCTAATTTGCATTATACGTAGGTATATTTGAATTAATTTTAATTTAAACACTAACTTTATTATGAGCTTTTGGAATAATGTATACTATTGTAAACATTAAAGGCTGAACAACATTTAGAATAGAAGAAATACATATGTATAACATTTATAACAATATATAGATATTGTTATGTTTTGATGGGGAATGTTTGTTTTTCTATATCCAGGTGTCCAACCCATCAAGAAAAGTTGACTGTATACTGTTGGACATGCAGACGATGCATATGCCATCAGTGTGCTTTGTGGGGGGGTACACACTCTGGCCACACCTTCAAGCCATTGGAAGAAGTGTATGAACAGCACGTCACTCAGATACGCGATGAGGTGTCCCAGTTGAGGCGAAGATTAATGGAGCTCATCAGCCTCGTTCAGGATGTCGTAAGAATTTTTATAGTTTCTTGTCATTTCCGAGTCAATTATATTTTTGATTATTGGCGAAAAGTTTTGATTATGAATTGTCGGCGATTGTATTAACCAGTAAAAATGGCGAGCTTAATGCCATAAGGCATTTTCTACCTGCCAACTGGAAAGTTGTGAGAGAAAAATATGTACATAGCTATATATATATTATATAATATGTATACATACATTATGATAAGAAATATTAAACACATGCATAAATATTTACAATATACATGTATATTTACATAAATATCAATGCAATAAATAAATAAAATGTAAATAGCATATACATAGATAAAATTGTAATATATTTCAAACATCATCCATACTACTGATCGTGCGATGAACAATCCACATTGACCTTGTCGAGGAAGGGGACGTAGGTACGTCGGGCCCACTGAGGATCCCTCTACAACCACACATAGTGCTAACAAACATAACCTAGTACATAGTTAGCCCTCGTCTACGAGCACGGTGAAAATACAAGGCTTACTCTTTCACTGTGGTACCACGCAACAGTCTTCGCTGTTCTACGCATGGGCGGATCTATCCGGAGAAGTATAACGACCTCGTAGAAGACCAGCGTGAAGTGGAAGTGTTTTAACACATTACTAAACGGTGGCATTCTAATGCAATCCTACGGGTGTTGCAAATGTCCATGGCCGATGGTTATCACCTATCATCAGGTTAATCGCGTTGCCACCTCAGATAAAAAAAATACAGTCAACGGCCATAGTCCGTACCGAGCCACGATGGTCCGTAGATGACATTTCCCATAGATAACGTACGTGAGTGGACCTACCCACCGCGGAGGGCCGTATCAAGCTCTGCTTACGATGAAGCTATGAGCTAACAATAGTCGTAAGGTCTAAAAGCAAAAACATCTGTTAGAGTTAAAATTCAAATATCTTCATTCAATGTAGAAGCATTACACTTGCTTATTGACTGTCAAAAAGCTACCACCGGTTTGGAAAAGTGAACATTGTCAACGTTATCGTATATATAAAAGTATTACTTACTAGTTGCTGCCCGCGAATACGTCTGCGTAGTATAGGCTGAGGGCGTAATATTTAGACAGAAAGACAGATATACATAAAATATGAATATAAATTATAGCCTATGTCTTATTCTGATGTAAAAGCTATATTATTGTAAAGTTTCATTAAAATCCATTCAGTAGTATTTGCGTGAAAGAGTAACAAACATCCATCCATACATGCATACATTCGCGTTTATAATATTAGTAAGGATACTACGCAGTCCATTTTTTAAAAAAAAGAAAAACAAAGTAAAAAATCATTCTCTAATACAACATTTTCTTCAGGAACGCAACGTAGAGTCTGTGCGGGCGGCGAAAGATGAGCGAGTGAGGGAAATCCGTAACGCTGTGGAGCTCATGATATCGCGCCTTGACTCCGCTCTGAAGGCGAAACTGCTGACGCTGATGGGCCAGAAGAACAGCCTCACCCAGGAGACAGAGCAGCTCGAACACCTACTGCAAGAGATTGAGCACCAGCTGCACTCCAGCACCAGGTCTTTTGTGTATTTGACATAAGTCTAGACTTGTTCATGTGAGTTTTTATTATTTGTACGTACAATGTCCGGTATTTCTCTGCGTGATAGAGTTCGCAACGAAGACATCCGCAGTAGAAAAAAGATAACTGACATAGCTCAGAAGTTAGTAGGCTGAAGTGGCGATGGGCCGGCCATATAGCTCGTAGAACCAATAACCGTTGAGGAAGAAAGGTTCTCGAGTGGCAGCCTCATACTGGCCATCGCAGTATAGGAACCCACTAGATGGAGTGATGACCTGTGCAAATGTGCGGGAATTCGATGGATACAGGTTTCTCGGGATCGTACTTCTTGGTAGTCTGTGGAGGCCTATGTTCAGCAGTGGAATTTAACAGGCTGAAATTATGATGACGATGCCCAATTAATGGAGGTGTTCTATTTCTGTTCTGTTGTTGAAATACTTAATGATATATGGTGGGAGCCTTGCAAAACATTTTGCGGATTGTACCGCACTGTTTCAGTCAAATGCGTTCTCCGTTCTGTCACTGCTCAATTCTCATTTTATATGAGTTTGATACAAGGGTTAATATTTTTCCACAACGACAGGTCCGAACTTATTGCGAAGAGCGGCGAACTATCCAAAATGATCCATCAGGTGCGCAAGAAACCAATGGCAAGCTTCGTGACCGCCCCAGTACCAGCGGATTTCCACAGGCATGTATGATTTTACCGCAAACATTTCTGCAGATTAATTTTGATTAAGTGTGGTTAACTTTTCAGAAAACAGCATTTGAATTTTGCAATTTAAATTAAAAAAAACCTTGCAATGACATTAAAAACCTTAAAATTGTTATATATATAACCTAGTTAAGTAAATGGTATAATAACAATTTGGATGATACAATCTGTTTGTAAATATAATTTCCCCCATTTTTATGTATATGTGGTATAACTATACAAATTTGTTTTTCTATTTATATTTTTTTTCTCCTTTGTTTTTCTTTTTTCATTTTTGTATACGCTAACTCTATAATATATTATAATTATGTAAATGGGTGTTTTGTGATTTCTTGAAAAAATTGTTTGTATTCAATAATAAAACATGTGATTGCGGGCGGACTGAAAACCGGTGTCGGGATCAGAACGAATCTTAGTTACTGTATCTCGACTTTTACCGAGTCCCGTCCGTTTCACGGTCTTATGCTGCTACACAGACCTTCACTTATTATAATTATTTTTTTGTTGTTTACATTTATTTTAAGTTATTATAATATTATTTTACATAATGTGTAGTTACATTATTATTTTTAAGTGTTCTTTGTATCTATTGTGCTTAGACCGTGAATAAACGTTTCTTCTTCTTCATATTGGCCTTTTAGCGAGATCGTGCCAAGCTACGATAGCAGCACGTTCCCGCTGTCCAACTTCACTCAGCTCCAGCACGCCGCGGCGCCCGTCTACTCGGCGCCGCTGCACGTCAATGGCCTCTGCTGGCGGCTCAAGGTCTACCCGGACGGCAACGGGGTCGTGAGAGGCAACTATCTATCCGTCTTCCTCGAACTCAGCGCCGGCCTGCCCGAGACCTCCAAGTGAGTGATGCCTCCTGGTACGTGCGCGTGCGCGTGCGTGCGTGCGTGCGTGCGTGCGTGCGTGCGTGCGTGCGTGCGTGCGTGCGTGCGTGCGTGCGTGCGTGTGTGTGTGTGTGTGTGTGTGTGTGTGTGTGTAGTGTGTGAATTCAATTCAGATTACAAAAATTATGTTGTGATTAAAAAATAATGTTCTTTATAATTCTCTCTAAAATTAGAAACAAAATAATGATAATCAATAATTAATCAATTTATATTCTGTTTGTGTGTGTGAGTGTTGAATTCCGATTAGAAAATTTATTACATGATTAATAAATAAGTTTTCTATTTATTATTCAAACCTAAAATTAGTAGCCTACCTGAATTAAAAATTTAAATAAAAATAACACCAAGCTGGTTCTGAGTCCTGACTTTTGGCATTTGGCATGTCAAAATTCTTTGATGGAAAATAATTATAGCTATAAAATAATTAGTCTTATGAGTATTCAGTCAAAGTTGCGGTTCATTTTCATTATTTTGTTTTTGTTTTTATATAGAACTTTTCCAGTGTGGGAGTTTAATGACATATCCACAATCCCATGTAGGAAAAGTTTACACTACACGAAATTTACATAGACATACACCCACGGTGTAGATTATATGAATACTTCTCTCTGGAATGATTAGAATCTAATGATGACTCGTAGCATGAAAGCCAAGCTTAATACCTGCTACAACAGAGTTCTCTAGTTTTGATCTGATTTACTCATAAGTTTATATTTGAATTGTAAGGTTGTGCAGGTTGTGAGAGGTGTGCTTGGTTCTGGATTTAAATCATTACGATTAATTACTTAAATCTTAAACTGGATTTAGACTGATCTTATAACAGAAAAATTTAATGCTGAATAAAATTTAATTAAATTAAGTGCAAATGTAGGTCAGTGCGGACGTTTAGGATGTTTTGTTTAATTGTCTTCTTAAAGGGACCATGGTAGCAATTTATGTTATTTTGTAAATATGTGACCTATTTAATATAATATAATCAGTAAGGGTGATCAATAAATCAAGAAATTGAAGACTATTAATAGAGTAATATTGTCTTCAACAATTTCATAAAATGTTTATTAGATAATTATATAAACCTAAATTTGTATTAAAATGTATATTTAATAAGTTGCTCGTAAAACATTTCAGAGTGTTTTAAAGTATTTGCTAGAAGTAGAATATTATGTTTCTCTAAGTAAGTGCGCTAATATTAATCTTTAAACAAATGTTATCTATTTAATGCTATTTAACATCATAATGTTATATAACATATTTGTCAGAAGTATTATGAAACTGATTTCACTATATTCGTGTAAAATACCGATAGTAACAGATAATTTTTTGGTTATTACAAGCTTTGCTAAATTAAGGGTAGGCAAGAGGTAAGTTAGACAAGAAATATTGACCGCATTCTAGACCTGCCTTAGTTGCTCAGAATTGTGTGTAGCATGTTGGTAGCATGTGGAAGACAACTTTGGTGTGCTATATGCTGCATCTCATTAAATTGTAGATACAATTAGAGGAGTTTTATGGTCTGTACTTTTCATATTCATTGATTACCTTTGTATCTGTAACAATAATTGATATTATTAGTCAATAGGTAATTAGGTAATATAAAGTTTGTATGAATAATAAAATTGACATGACAAATTTGTATTTAACAGAGGTACTAAAATGTAATACACCCTGACATCTAAATTAAAAGACAAGCGGTGTTGGAATTATTAACAGCGGTTTTAGAGGTTTTTTTAGAACTTACTGTTAAGTGTATTCATTAGTTTCTAATGAGTGTTTATAAATTCGCAAGAAATGGTCCATGCTATGAGAGTATCAATTCAGGTAGTTATCTAAAAGAAAGCAGGACAATTTTAATCTATGCATTTGTACCATTAGCCGTTATAGCTCATTGTCCGGGCGCTCGCTTATAATCCATTGTACTCTAGTAACCTGGGATCAATCGCCGGTGCCGGCACCAATGGAATTATTAATTTTGAGTGCTGACTTATCACGTGCTCAGCGGTGAAGGGAAACATCGTGAGGAAACCTGCATATTTTCGAAGTAATAACAAATAAATTCTCGAAGACACGTGAAGTCCGCCAATCCGCAGTGAGGTCGCGTGGTGGATTATGCCCGTTGTGGCATTACCTATCTCATAAGATATCATAATATCTTCACATATGATATCATAAAGACAAAATCCATTATGAATCAATAAATTGTTTGTGTTACACAAATTTATTATTAATATATGTATTAAGCCGTTCGCTTTGCTGTTAAATTGAGTCCATCATGGAGTATGTGATAGAATGTTGCATAATAGGCCTACTCAATATTTGCTTGATGTTATAACTTCTAGCTTCCATACCTGTTAGTGCTAAACATACAAAAAAAGCTGCAGTCATTCATCCATTTGTCGTATATTTCATGTTTTTATGTTGAGCAAAGGAGTATTTCAAAATTATGTGTTTCATCATTATTTTACAAATATTCAAGGAAAGTCTCTTACAACAGTTTTTGAATTAAATATTTACGCGAACGCTTGAATAGTTAGATGTGTAACTGTGAGAAATATTTTAGTTTCAAGACATTATGTTTCGAATACAAACAAATTCATGTCCAATTATTGAATTTCATAATTTAACATCAAATTCGAAATCATAATTGGTTAACGATTTCGAATTAATATGATTTAATGTAAAATTGCGCAACATTGGGAAAGCAACGTATACTGAACGAAGAGCGTTGCGTCGAAAATCGCGTGCTCTCTCCGGTGACATCGCCATTACGTGTCGATTAGTGCGTTCACACACCGTCAGCGCTTTTCGCTTGGCCGCGCGGGCGATTCCGACCCTTAATGACGCGCGCCGCGTGCCGCCAGGTACGAGTATCGCGTGGAGATGCTGCACCAGGTGTCGCGCGACCCCTCCAAGAACATCGTGCGCGAGTTCGCCTCCGACTTCGAGGTGGGCGAGTGCTGGGGGTACAACCGCTTCTTCAGGCTCGACCTGCTCGCCAGCGAGGGCTACCTGGACCCAGATACCGACACCCTTATACTCAGGTGCGTGCCGGGCCATGGACGTATGTCAGCGCTAGGGTTGCCGAAAAGTCGCTAGCGAGGGCTACCTGGACCCAGATACCGACACCCTTCTACTCAGGTGCGTTCCGGGCCATGGACGTATGTCAGCGCTAGGGTTGCCGAAAAGTCGCTAGCGAGGGCTACCTGGACCCAGATACCGACACCCTTATACTGAGGTGCGTGCCGGGCCATGGACGTATGTCAGCGCTAGGGCTGCCGAAAAATCGCCAGCGAGGGCTACCTGGACACAGATACCGACACCCTTATACTCAGGTGCGTGCCCAGCCATAAACCTATGTCAGCGCTAGGGCTGCCGAAAAATCGCCAGCGAGGGCTACGTGTCTGGGTACGGACACCCTTAGCGCTAGGGCTGCCGAAAAACCGCCAGCGAGGGCTACGTGTCTGTGACACGGACACTTATACTCAGGTGCGTGCCGGGCCATGGACCTATGTCAGCGCTAGGGATGCCAAAAAATATCGATTTTTGATTCTATATATCGATATTATCAGCCGATATATTTGGATCCGATATATCGAAACAGAATACTCAATATCGAAAATCGTATAAAACGATATCTTTTCAAATTCGAATCCGGTACTGAGTGCGTAGATGTCAAATCTTTAATACTTGACATACATATTTTTTGGACTATGGATGTCTAGAACATATATCCGATATATTCAATATTGTGGCCGATATTGATAGTTTTATAAATATCGATATTTTTTCATTTTCGCATTCCCTATTTGGCGTGTTGAGACTGCACGGTTAATCGCGACGACCGTTTGACGAATTGTTGACGGCAATGTCGCAAATAAATACCACATTCTTTGCGGCGTTGCCATACCTAACAGGCCAGCGAAATATGTGATGTTACGCTTTTACCTACAGGGTGTTCGTACTCCCGTCTATTTTGTGCACATTGCTTGATCGAAAAATGTATTTTTTGCTTTTTACGAAGTTACTCTGTTGAAAAAACGTAGAATAACGAAAAATACTAACGGAAATGGTGATCGTGAATTATGTAAGTTGAATGCCTCATTTCATAGGTAAATGAGAATCTCAGCAGTTGTCTGTGCTTGTCGTATTTGAAGTTGTTAGCGGGGAATACCCGCTGCGAGTGTCGGGATCTTGTACGACCATATCACAGGTTCCAAGTGAGGCCGCCTACCTTCTATCAGCGCTGCCGCGACCAGCAGTGGTACATTAACCAGCTGATAACGATGCAGAACCAGCACATCCTGCAGATAAACGATCTCAAGGAGGTGAGTTAAGAGTTTTACTGATTTCACTAGCCTCGGTGAATTTTTTTTTAATTCAAGTTTAAATATCATTCGGTTCGGTAATGAAAAGCCACTGACTTAAGAAGAATCAGCGGGACCTTTTTTTACCATTATTGTAAACCTTTGCAACTAAAACCTACCTTCTGTATTTGTGTTTGTGGATATCATTCTATTTGATATGATTCTATGTGTATATGGAAGCATAGCACAGTACGATTATGGCATTATTAATTTGGCTGTGTTGTTGTCGTTTGTTGTTAGTCGTTGTAAAGTGTGGGACGGAGATAACGCTCGTTCAACTATCTTTCCAACGGTCGTTGTGCAATATTTACCGACGAGTATTGTATTTATTTAGTCAGTACTGTGTTTATAGAGAAATTATCATATTACGATTTATTACCCCCTGATAGATATCTGCCTGATAGGTGTCCCTTAAAGTTAGGGATCGATGGCGAACACGGGCATTAGACACGCGGATTATATTCGAAAAACTATTTTGATATGTTCATTTAATGTAAACGTTTTAAAGTTTTAATAAGCAATGGGTCTTTTTGTCATGAAATATTACAAATTGAATATGCTTCCACCTTATTTTTACATTAAAATACATATGAAATACAACTGTGCCACCTTCCTCTTCCTCCCTTCCTCCCCCCCTCTCTCCCTCCCCCTCTTTTTCTTTCTCATACGCTGAAACTCGCCACGTTCCAGCGCCTCACACTGGAGATGTCGAGGAACTCGATCGCGGCCACCCGCGTGCCGAACGGCCCGCCCCCCTCGCAGGGCGGCGCAGAGGCCGACAACCCCGCCCACAACAACCCCGTGGATGGCAACGCCCTCAGCGACTCCATCCTCTACGGCAACCATTGGAAGTTCAGCACGCCGCACGGCGTCGCCAGCGGCCAGAGGCTCACCAGCCCTGGTCAGTGTTGACTCACGCGAAGAGTTAGTTACTACGACACGAAGAATACACCTCGTGCTCTCTACGAGATATATGTGTGCATAAAAATATTACCTCAGTTGAAAGGTAAACGATAGTCAATCGAATCACGCAGGTACACAGTCATGCTTAAAATTCAAAATTGTCACCTTTATTGTTCTCTTAATAGATTACTTGAGTTTGGGATAATTATTATAGAGTGCATTGGTAGTTGATAAATGACAAAATAGGTTTTACTAGCTGTTGAAGCTCAGCGTGAGTTCCCGAACGGTCGCTCAAACTCGCTATGACTTATAAAGAAAAAATATGTAGTACTTTATGGTACGAACGCGCTCAAGTTTTAAATTGAACCTAATACAAGTTGTAATAAAAATATTTTCTCATAAAAATGGCCAGTGAAAGACGGTCCTTGCTCCAACATATTTTCTATTTTTTTTTATATATTTTTGACGTCCCAACAATGAAGGGTTTTCCGCAGGGGTGCTGAACACGGCGCTGTACCTGGACGACACGCGCAACAACGACGTGTCGTCTCACTCTGCGTACGCGTTCGGCGACTACGCGCCGTTCGAGCGACGGCTGCACGCGCACGCGCACGCGCACGCGCACGGACACGCGCACACACACGCGCAGCACGCGCTCGACGCCTACAACCTGCCGTCCACCTCCAGGTTAGCCAACCGTGTTTTACTCAATCGCGCTTTCCAAACAAACAAGTTCTCTGGCCGTTTTTGGGATGACGGCCTAAATTACACTTACTTTTTTCCAATCCAAATGACAAACCGAATGGCGTTGTGGGTATTGTACCTGCCTCCTGCGCCAGAGGGTGTGGGTTCGATCCCCACTACTAGATAAATATTGTGTGATGAACATAGTATTTTTCTAGTGTCTGGGTGTTAATATATATATAATTTGTATTTATTTACAAAAGGAAAGTATGTTTAAGTATGTTTATCAGTTTTCTAGTTCCCATAGTACAAGCTTTGCTTAGTTTGGGACTAGAGAATGTTGTGTAAAAATGTGTCCTAAAAAAAAATAAAAAAAAAATCAAAATCCTAAAGTACGTCTAATTTGTTTCCTCATCGTCATTACTGCCGCCCATGTACATCAGCAACACCCGACGGATTGCAAACGTTCGAAATGCGAATGTAAAAATGTGTCCTAAAAAAAAAAATAAAAAAAAAATCATAAATGCTAAACTACGTCTAATTTGTTTTCTCATCGTCATTACTGCCGCCTATGTACATCTACAACACCCGACGGATTGCAAACGTTCGAAAGTGTAAAGTATACGTAAGTAAATACAAGTAGTAACCCACGGTCTTCCCCGCACGTATTACAGCCATATCTGCTGCGTGGCCCTACCAAGTGGTTATTCGCACTGATCGATACTTTGATCGGTGGTAGGGCCTCGCAGCAGCCTCGGCTGTTGTACGAATGGGCAGGCCCGTCCGGGTAAGTACCACGACCTCACAGAAGACCGGCGTAAAGTGGAAGTATGACAAATACTTTCGCGTTTCGTCTGGTGAGTGAGGTAGCCGGAGCCCAATTTTCAAAAGGTTGTCAACGCATCTGTAAGCCTCGGGTGTAGCAGATGTTCATGGGCGGCGGTATTCACTTAACATCAGGTGACCCGTCTGCTCGTTTGGCAACTTTTGGCATAAAAAAAAAAAAAAAAACCCATCTATGTGGCGTCGGCGCATATGAATCATGCCGCTGAAGTTAACGGCTTGTAGTTTTACGAATGTACGCTTGCCTCTACGCCCCTGTGCCGCAGACGCTAGATCCGCTCGCCCCGCTTTGGATCCGCCAGATCCGCGAGCTCGCTGGCCGGCGGCGGCGCGGCGGGCGGGACGGCGGGCGCGGACAGCATGGCGCTGGTGAGCCTGCACACGCTGTTCAGCGCGGCGAGGCCCCCCGCGCGCCTGCCCCGCCACGACAAGCTGCGCGCGCCCGCCAAGGACACGGCCCTCACCGGTGCGCAGACACGGCACCGATCGACCCCCCTCTCCTACGCTCATCGGTCGCCCGAAATCGCATCGGTTACGAGGCATTAAAATTGCCCCACCCCTCGACTGCTTTTACGATTATGTTTTTTTTTAATACTATGATGAACAGATTTTTGTAAAAAAATGTCATCATTTATTTTAAAATTAGCGATGAAGTCAATCGAATTAATCATCATCGTCATCATTTCTGCCTACCTCCGTTACTACCTACTTCACTGCTGAACACCTCCAACAGACTGACCACGAAGTAGGATGCTGAGCCGCCTGCATCCAAGAAATAGAGTTCAATGCCACTGCCTGTGTCTGATGTACTTTTGTGAATATAAAAATATGTTTTATTAAAATAAAAACTAGCCTGCATTCTGTTGAATTGATTGCGCGAAAAAGGTCGCAGCTGTATTAAGCGTTCCCGTTTCGCTTACGGCAGCGGTGGCCAGCAGTCCGGTGACGGAAGCGGGCGCGGGAGCGGCGGCGAGCAGCGGCGCGCTGTGCGCCTCCGCCTCCTCGCCCGAGCTGAACTCGGCGAGCGCGAAGGGCGAGGCGCGGGGGGCTGCCGCGGAGGGCGCGGGGGGCGCGGGGGGCGCCGCCGCCGCGCACGCACCCTCGGAGACCAGCAGCGACACCGGGGTGCGTGTTTACTTATCTACACACACGACGCAGTATTCGGTAGATGCATACAATAAGACGCATTTACAGTTATGTGCAATACTCATTTCTAGGCAAGACTTTGGCACTCATTCAAAGAAACATGGCGCTGAACTTCTCGTAGGCATCGAAACTCGCTTATCTTGTTTACCTTGTTTACCTTTTTACTTCTGAACCTAGTGGTGTAGTATTGAGTCTTGGTGAAAAATCGTTTTAAAGAATTGAAAACGCACATTTATAATGTTAAATGCCTCGTGTTAATTTTAATTAATTAAACTATAAACGTACATATTTATGTACATCGCGGACCTATTAGATTATTATATATTTTATATATGTTCAAGAGACAATGATCAGATGATTCAGTGTCATCTTCCGCCGTCTATAAAAGAGAGTAATATTATAATTATGTAAATTATATTTTCTCTTTGACACACAGGAGCTCATGTTTTCGGAACTAGAGGGCTTTGCAGAAGAGAACAACCCAATTCATGTTGATGAGAACTCAAACGAAGAGAACGACGTAGACGAAGAAACTATGTCAGGTGAGGAAATGTTGCAAGTATATCTAGCGGGTAGAGAACGTTCATGGTGTATGCATCCGCGTTCTACAGCTAAAACGACTTGTTGCGTCAATCGCATTGAAGGTACGGCCAAAAAATGATACATGGAAAAGTCGTGCAATAGGTTAGGGATTATATTATAGCTTTTCGAAATTCCACAACGTGCCAACCCTACCGAATCCCGGCCAAAGCAGATCTTGTGGCGTCCCTCACCCCTACCCATCCCTCTCCCCTCCCGTAACCGTGGCTCCCTCCCGCAGACGGGTCGTCGGGCAGCGGCTCGTGCGAGTGGTGCGCGCTCGATGCCTCGCCCGCCTCCGACGCCTCTCCCGCCTCCGACGCCTCTCCCGCCTCCGACGCCTCGCCCGCCTCCGTCGCCTCCGACGCCTCGCAGGGCTGTCGCCCGCCGCGCGACAACGGCCGCGCCGCGTACCGCCGCCCCCGCCCCCGCGCGCAGCCCTACTCGCCGCGCCGCGTCCCCTACGACCCCTGCGACGGCTGCGACGACGACAACCAGTAGCGGACGCTTTTGACATGAACGTTCTCGCCCGAGCGGGCGCACGTTGTTCACTAGTTCCATTTTTAAAATTGATGTTTTTGTGTTCCCTTACTTGTTTCATTACAATATTAACAGTAAACTCGTGTGTTGTTTGAATGGTACGAGAACGATTGCGCCACGTAACATAGTAAGTTTTGTTAATATTTTTTTCCATACTTTTATATTATCAATATTTTTATTATGTTTTTTTCTATTTATATAAGTTCTATTTGTATTTATTTTTCTGCATGAAAGTATTTCAATGCTTCTTAATAACTGTTAAACTCAAATTTATTAAAGAAGGCTATAAGGATATTGTCTTATTCAAAATATATTGCATCTTACACTATAATGGTTATAACACTATGTTTATGTAATATTCATATTAATATATTCATATTAATATAGTTTAAGTAAGTTTTGTTAATGTTTTTTTCCATACTTTTATATTATCAATATTTTTATTATGTTTTTTTCTATTTATATAAGTTCTATTTGTATTTATTTTTCTGCATGAAAGTATTTCAATGCTTCTTAATAACTGTTAAACTCAAATTTATTAAAGAAGGCTATAAGGATATTGTTTTATTCAAAATATATTGCATCTTACACTATAATGGTTATAACACTATGTTTATGTAATATTCACATTAGTAAATCTTTTAGAAAACATAAACATCATATTTTGTATATTCGGTTTATTATCATCGCAATCAGTATACTGTTGTATACCAATTAAGCTTCTAAAGAAATTAAACACTTGCATTGATTAAAAATTTGCTTGTGTCGTTTGTACAGCGTAGTTTCGTGTTCCACAGGCGAGAACGACGTGGAGGGCGCTTGCGGGCCATCGGCGGAAGCGGGCGCGGACGCGCTCAGCCGCCTCCTGTGCGCGGTGCACGGGCGGGCCGTGACGCCCGCGGGCAGCGACGGCAGCAACCCGCCGCCCGCGCCCGCCTCCGCCTCCGCCTCCGCCTCCGCGCTCTCCGTCGGCGACCCGCAGCTGTCCACCGCCGCGCACACGGACATGCTGCTGCTCAACCTGATGCGCATCAACGGGCTCACGCCCAAGCACTCTAAGCACGGTCGGTGTATTTGCCGTTTCGCTCCAGACGAGACCATTTATGCCCGGTTCCTATATTCAACGGACGGCCGTTAGTTATATAACTGTCATAACGACTTGTACATTAAAGGAACGCTAGTAACTCGCTTTCCGTAGGTAATGGTAGGAACCGGGCGAACAAGCCTTTTATCTACAAATCGTTATGAAAGTTACAAAGCTATGTAACTAACGGCCGTTCGTTAAATATAGGAACCGGGCATTAATGAGGTTTATTGGAGTTTATCGATGATAAATTGAATCATCTGTATTGTTACTTGGCCATGTTTGCTAAGTGAATCGGGGCCACTATTTTAAAGGTAGATCTATCTTCTCTTGGGAACTTCTAAAATTATGTCAACTGAACAATGGCAAAAAATAATGGCAGCCCAAAACTCAAATGTTCTTGTTATTTGAGATATAGTAATTTGTGTGTTTAACCGATCAATTTAATCATAATTTATGAGAGCAAGTAAAATTTCGGTGCTTTTTAAATTTTCATTGTTTCATTTAACGCGTCCGCAGGTCCTAAACGCAACTGGGCGACATTCACGCAGTCGCCCGACGCCGCTCGAGGCGGTAGTGTGGCGAGGGCGCAGCGGCGTGGGCCTGGCGGGGGGGCGTCGCCAGTGGGGGCGGGGGCGGCGAGTTCAGGGGGCGCTCGCCCACGCACCCGCCAGCCGCGCGCCCCTCCCCTCTCCCCCGGACAGCTGAGGCGCACCCACGTCACCTTGCCCAACGGTTGGTTTCTTTTTTAACCGACTTCCAAAGGAGGAGGTTCTCAATTCAACTGTTTTTTTTTTATGTTTGTCACTTCAGAACTTTTGAATGAGTGAACCGATTTTGATGATTCTTTCTTTATTTGAAAGCTGGTGCTTCCCATGTGGTCGTCTATCTTGGGCTTTCGAGATACTTAGGGTACTCGATATTTGAAGTCGGTTTTATTTTTCGTTAGTTAAAAAATCGTTATCTTTAATAAAGATAATATCTGGATCATAATTATTGTGTTGCGAGTAACATAAATCACTGTGAAAATCAAAATGAATCCGACCTAAACACATTTGATGGGTTAATTGAGAGTCAATATTTTCAGGGAGGGCGGTTCCCAGCGCCATGTCCCCCAGCAGCCCGGGCACCCCAGAGAGGGCGCGCTCCTCCCCCGACGCCCTCCACGACTACTGGCCCTCCGTCTCTTCTATCAGCGACGCAGACGACGTCGACGCCATCCTCGACTATAATGTGAGTGCAGAGATGGATGTGTATGGCTTCTGACATTCGGAAACTCTTCGCGGTGCGGCGTTTTGCGTAGTGTCATTTGGTGGTTGGCTTTTTTTTAAGCAAAACTTCCCATAGATTAACTGATTGTTTTGACAGCGTAACAGATCGCTGAAACGAAGATGAGTATCAAATATAAAGTCGAATTTGTTATAATATTAAATTAAATGAAAACAAAATAAACGGGCGACATTCTAGGAATCTGAAAACTTGTATTACTCTTTCAAAATTCCAGCTCAAGTAGACGAAATTGCGTTAAGGACTCGGTCTTAAATATGACCTGCGAATTTAAACATGTAAAAGCGGCACGAGTCCGTGTGTTTGTAAACTGTGCACGTGTCGCAGTATTCGGGCGCCAAATCGAGAAACTCCGACACGCAGGACACGCTGTTCGACATGCTGCTGAACAGCCTCTCGCTGGAGGGCGGCAACGGCGCGCCCGAGTGCGACGACGCGCCGCCCGTGCAGCCCTGGAGCCCGGCGGCGCCGCGCGACCCGCCCGTTGCCGACTGACACGCGCCGCGCGCCACGCACACGCGTCGCGTCACGCGCGACACGCTCGTCACGCGCGACGCACATGTCACGCGCGAGGCTCACGTCACGCACGTCACGCCCGCGGCGCACCAGCGGCGCGAGCAGCGCGGCCGCGGCGCCCGTCCGCGCGTCCACAACGTGTACTACGTGCACAACGAGGAGGGCGACGCGCCGCAGCGCGAGGGCGAGCCGCGCACTGAACGCAGCGCCCCCCCGCCGGAGAACGGCAACGCGAACGCCCTCTGCATCGCCACTACCCCGCCGAGCTACCGCCGCGAGTACTACCACTGATGCGGATGGATATATGAATATCGACTCCTCGTTGACCTTTTTTAATTAATAGTAGCGTGTGAAGCTTTGTTGGCACGGTCAAATCAGCTCTCTGTGACAAATTAGCTTTGGTCACGTGGATTGTTTAATTCATTCCCCGGGCAACCAACAATCACTATTGACGCCAGTGGGTTTGGTCTATTGCTATTCAAGTAAAATTTGTAGTTCAAAATGCGCTTCAAACCATCTTAGATTAGGCCTTATCCAACCAGTGTTTTAACGATCGAATGTCGTCCAAATAGCGTTTCACATTAATTTTGTAAAAAAATATGTAATGTGGACGATCGCAATTCTGTAGCACTATTTTTAAAAATTGATGGATAAAAAAAGGCTTACGAATACGAATCATCGAAAATAAATACTCTCCTTGCCGCTCAATACGACCGCATTAGTATCGGTATTGTAAACGGTTCATTTTAATAGTTCAACCGTTTTAAGGAGAGAAAAACAAAAATAAAACATTGTTGTACTCATACTCGATATTATTAAGAGGACTGGACCTCTTTCGACTAGGCGGCTTGAGGCATATTTGTTGTTGTAAAATAAATAATCATTATTGCTTAGATCATGTACTGAAGATTTTGATCTATGGAATCAAATTGTGTTAGTATGGCATTTAGAGAAGGTAGGTGCAGGCTAAGAGTTTAGTAGTAGTTTAACGCGAATACAACAAATTTTTAATTAAACTGCTTTAGCTCCCGATTTTTATTTTTAACTCCTGACGTTTTGAATACGTTGAATACTCCTAATTCTGGAAGTGATTTCATAAATTCGGAGTTAATATCAAATATATATTAATAAATAATTAAATAGAAGCATGTTTCTATACTTCAATTTCGAAACTGAACAAGAAGGAAAATATAAATATTAGTGATTAGAACCAATTGAATTTGTCTCATCAACTCAAAGTAATAGTGGATATATATGGTTTAGTGCGTTATTAAGACTGCTCGGCCCACTTGGGTGCTTAAGCGTGATTATTTTTTGAAATTTACGATCTCCTTTATAATAGTAGTTATTCGTAGACTAGTCGAAATTTCGATAGGGTTAGTGTTCGATTTAGATGTACGAATATTCAGTTTGCGTTCCTCTACACGCGTCTGTAGAGGGTGCGTTAAAATGAATAGTTCAATATTTTCTTCTATCTAAACAAATGATATTGCAGTGAATTTTAATTAAAACAATCATAAAATTGTTTTTTGTAATTTTGCAATTATATTCGATTGCATAATGTTTTCCGAGTGATAAATTAAATCGTTTGTGACAAATATGTTTTAACGATACGAATTGTGTAAAATCTCTCTGTAAAGAAAAGTTTACTCAAGCAATTAGTGATTTACTTCATCAACAACATAATGGCGTTTCTAAACAAATAAAAGATAGTCTGACGTGATGATGCTTACAACTGAGGCTGAAATGATTTACTGATTTCTTTGAAAACATGATTGAAAACTGTACTATCATAGAATACAGATAAAATACGATATACGAGTTTTTACAGTACATTTTATGTTCTTAATAGCTAGTTTCAATTTGTTTTAATTAGTTCGAATTGTTGTTTGATGTAAAGAAAAGAGAGACTGTAGCGAGTGGCGCAAGTTGATATTATGGTTATCTATTAGAAGAATATTTCGAATGAATGTCAAACGTATGCAAGAGATATAAACGTATGGCATGTAATTGGTGTTGGACTAGCAGTGCCGTAAGTGAGCGGCCTTTTATGCCCCCGCTGTGAGTTCTCGTAAACTGCGCTCTTGAAAAGTATTATCTTATCTGACTCAGACAAGAAAAAAAATGATATTGTCGATTAAAACAATCTACCATTCATGACCCAGAACTGCGTCCTGGTCTAGTCATTCCTGCGCCTAGGGCGTGGCCCCGGCCTTGACGGCACTGTCAATTTAACATAATTATGATGTGTATTTTAGCATGTTATGTGGAATATAATTAATTTTATTTAGCTTTTAATAGAACGCAATCGACGTGTAACTGATTTCGAATTGTTGCTATAGCGTGTTTATCTACTCAGCGATTGAAATATATAATTATGAAAGAAATAAATAGTTAAATTATTTGTTTGGCCTTTTATTATATGGATACGGTAGTTGACAAATTACGTTTGTAGAGATGCTCACGATTTGAAAAAAACATTAATACAGGCAACTGCTGTCATCAAGATTTAGGGGCCTATTATGTTCTATAATTTGTGGTGGCACAGGAATTGTCTGCATTGAGACAACGTTATCTACAACAACTTACATTTTTCAGATTGACTTAATGAAGTCCATCAAAAAAACCGGTCAAGTGCAGATCGGTCTCGCGCACGAAGGGTTTCGTACCATCACTACATAGTATAAAACACAGTCGTCCCGCTGTTTGTCCGTCCTTGTCTGCTTAGATCTTTAAAACCACGCAACGGATCATGATGCGGTTTTTTTTAACTAGATAGAGTGATTCAAGAGGAAGGTTTATATGAATAATACATTGCACCCGTGTGAAGCCAGGGCGGGTCGCTAGTTATCTATAAAAACGGCAACAATCATGTTTGTTGTATGGGGGCCCTGCTTAATTTTTTTTTAATTCTGTGTTTTGGTATTTGTTGTCATAGCGGCAAGTATCTGTGAAAATTTCGACTGTCTAACTATCAAGGTTCATGAGATACAGCCTGGTGACGGACAGACAAGCAGACAGCAGAGTCTTAGTAATTTGGTCCCGTTTTACTCTTTGGGTACGGAACCCTAAAAAGATAAGCGACATAGCTCAGAGGTTTAGTAAGTGGCAATGGGCCGGTTATATAGCTCGGAAAACCGATAATCGATGGGGATTTTTTTTCTGCTAACAGAATTCGAAAAGGCTGCAAAGCTACCTTCTGTATCCAATTCGGCGAATTCAAGATGACTCGGATAACGAAATCTACGACTTGATAACAAAACATTAAATTGGCTGACTTTTTTTGCACCAGTATCATTGCTAGCAGCTTTAGTCTTAATAGAAATTATTTTGGATGCTAAACATGCTCGAGCTGTTCTTGTCTACTGTTACGGGTACCGTAAAATCTAAAGTAGGAGTAAAAATGAAAGAATTGTCTGAAATTGATTCAATATTTTATTTTCGTTTCACCAAAATATACACAATGACAAGTATCGTAAATCTGGTTTTAACCACATTTCCATAATGTCTATTTCAATTTAACAGCTGATTACACGAAGAACACGAATAGAACGTTTGAATACAAATCCCTTTGAACAGACATTCGAGCGAATCGCCCCTGCCAGAGACATGTCTTTTATTATACTTGCGTACGACTACGCACAATATGATCCGAGTAAAATTATTAAATTCACTGTTCCTACATTAAATCGATATATTTACAAATAAAACTTTAAAAGGAACGCTTTGCAAACATTCAACAAACTTGAGATCGTCTTAACGTAAAGATGGTATAAAATTTCCAAAAAAAAAAAAGTCGATGAACGAAAGTCTAAAACATCATTTTGCAGACGAAATATTTACAAAAAAAAAAAAAAGGCAGTTATATTTCCTCGCCCACGAAGTGAGGAAAGCGCCAAATCACGTTTTACATCTTTCGCAAATAAATAACAATTGAATTTAGCCTAAAATACTTTTCTTTAATAAACAAAACAATAAAAAATAATTGCATTCAACAAAGCTACAATAACAAATTTAATATAAATTAATGATAAAGGTAATGTACAATTTATACAAATCTAAAGGATCACTTCAATGATTATCACTGTAGTTTATTTAGTGTTAAAGTTCAGCTTGTCGCGGACTCGTACTCAGCGCAAGGTTTATATTATCATAAAATTATTGATATTGCATTATCTATATTATACAATAGACTCGTCACTAGCGACAATTACAATAAACGAAGATTTAATATAATGTACATTAAAATTTCTTCCTCCGCGATAATCGCTTCCATACATTCATAGCTCTTACACCGGAGGCGGGGAGTGATAACAGAAGGTAACCTCGTTTCGCAAGACAAAAGCTATCAAGAATTGTGCATAAAAACTCGAATATGCTAAATCTAATCAAAAGGCAATCGGGGTGATGTTTGCGCCGATAAGAACTTTATAGACTACCATCTTACTTTATTAACTTCGAAGTATCGATCACTGTAAATGTAAACTAAGAGCTGCTAATTGATAATACTCCTACGCGTTAACATTCTAAAATTACGTGTGGTGTTATATTAAACCGGTCGCCAAAGCGCTCCGGTCGTGTACACTTAGCTTAAGTTAATTGGGAACTGCGCCGGTGGCGTTTCAATATATAAAAAGTTCCCTCCTCGCACTGCCTACTCTAGTAGCACTATTCACTTAATATTATGCCGTTTTGCACTCAATAAAGTCAAATGGTTCCACGTCGACTCCGTAAATAGTAGTTTTACGACCTACATAGGGAGTGTAACGTACGTACTAAGTACTATGCAGTACACGCGGAACCGACTCGTACGCACCGTACGGATTACTCTATTTGGGACTGTGAATTCCCGTTTGTAATATAATGTCTCGCATTTCATTCGTCTATTCGTCCCTCAACACTTTCACATCCTCGCAAGCTTCCCCGTCTACACTCGTCAGTTTCTCCATCATTCTTTGGCATTATTTAGTGAGCTAAGTTCAATAACGCTTCCATCGTAAATTCTTTTAAAAGAGATATATTCTCAATCACGTCAATATTATAACAATATATAATGGTATTGCACTATGCTCGTGTGTCTTGTTTTAATGGATCACTATCGTTTGATTTTTCTATAGGTAAATTTGTAAATCTAGTTTTATGTCACACATGAAATTCGATTGAAAATAATAAAATTTAAATGCGTGGCCGTTTCGAACTCGGCCAGCTCTACTGATGTGTGCTGAGTATTATGATCGATGTAATTATTTAAATACATAATAATATTTAGATAGTTGTGACCTAATCTATTCAGTCAATTGAATTGAATCAAAATAAATAGCCTCTCTCAGAATGAAAGCTTCGAGCCGTGAATATCTATCTACTCGGTTAAAGATCAGACTTTTTGTAATTTCAAAACATATATATGTATATTACATAGATTTATTTATATACTATATTATCGATATTCGGATTAAACTCTTTGCAGGTTCAGTTCGTTTCGTACTAGCACAGAAGTAAAAGTAATGATTACAAACGGAACAGCACCAAGCGGTATGTGGGGCACCAACAGGGACTAAGCAATGTTTCACGAGGTTGAATGTCAAGTCGCGCAGGTCGCGGCTTCAGTCCGGTCAGGTGACGAAACTCGAGCGCCACGCTCGCCCGGCGCTCATGGCTTGGCCCAAGCGATCCAGTCGAGCAGCGCGTGCAGGAGGCTCGCGCCCCGGGCGCGTGCGGGGGCGGGCGCGGGGGCGGGCGCGGGCGCGGCTCAGAGCGAGCGGGCGGCGGCGCGTCAGACGTGCGACTCGAGCGGCGGGCGCGGCGGCGGCACGGCGGGCGCGGGCCAGGGCGCGGGCGCGCTCAGGTCGGGCGAGGAGGTGCGCGTGTGGCGCGCGCCCCAGCCGTCCTTGTCGAAGTCCTTGGTGCCGCCCACGGTGTGGCGCCGCTTGATGCCGCGCTCCGGCATGCCGTTCTTGCGCTTCAGCTTGGTGGAGCGCCAGGCGCCCGCCTCGCGCCGCCGCGCCACGTTCCACTCGCCCTTCTCCAGCTTGCTCGGCCGCCCGCCCTCGCCCTTGTTCAGCGACTCGGAGCGCTGCAGCCGCTCCGCGCGGCAGTTGAGGCTCTCCGAGCGCAGCACCCGCGCCTCGCTGCGCTCCTGCTCCCGGTTCAGCGACTCGGAGCGCTTCAGTTTGGCGCACTCGTCGTCGCCGAGCTCGTCCGCGTCGGGCTCGCGCTCGAGCGCGGCGCTGTTGCGGCTTCACCGTCTCGGGGTTGGCGAGCCGCAGGCCGTTGTAGTAGGGCAGCCGCTTGTCGTTGTCGGGCGCGGCGTCGCCGCTGGAGGCCTGCGAGCGCGTATCCACGTCCTTGTCGTCGTCGTGGCCGGGCCGCCGGGGCCCGAGGCAGTTCTCCTTCTCGGAGTCGTCGTTGTCGAGGGGCTTCTCGGGCGGCGAGCGGCGCGGCCACTCCTCGTTGCTGGAGGAGGAGGAGTGGCGCGTGTCGCGCGCCAGCCAGGCGGCCTTGAGCTCGTGCGCGCGCAGGGCGGGCGAGGCGCGCTCGTCCCGCCGCTCGCCCTCCTGCCCCAGCGAGGGCGAGCTGCCGCTCGATTTGTCCTCCGCCTCGTCCTGGCACTCGTCCGCGTACGGGATGCTGCCGTCGTCCAGCGGCGACGAGTTGTTCAGCGTGCGCAGCTTCTGGTCGAAGGTGCTCGTCAGAGAGGACACCAGGTCTCCCGTTCCTAGAACAAGCGCGAGGTTGGTCCACGTCGCACGCCTGTCTCTCGACACGCGACACAGACACTTAAGCATGTTAGGAGAGTTCGCGTTCGCGCGGTTACTTGTGTGACGAGTCGATTGATGGTGGATCGATGATCGAATGGATGGTCTATGGTATGTACAGGAGGATGCGATGGCCTTTGAAACCTACTCTATAAGATGCACGAGCGCAAGCCGTGCTTGTCAGCAGCCGTTGCTTTAAGCGTTAGTTCGATGGGAGTGATAAGTTTGATTACGTCTCTCTTCGTATCAATCGTGGTCTTGATTTCGTCGTGTATGGTTTTCGCTACGTTCAAGATCACAATGACGACTCGAAAGACGCAAACGAACTTAGCGGCTCCGTGTTATCGGTCTTGCCCGAGTACACGCACACATTTGCAACACGCACTCTCACAATCCTATACCTTTAACGTGGACAAAAGTAAGAGATTGCTGTGTCTACTCTCTGACGTCAGTACTGGACACCTAATGGAGCAAATAGTAGACACATTTATTGAATATTTATGTATTACAAAAAATAAATATACTTCGAAACTCAATCAATTTTCAGTGTTATACACAAATAGTTTTCATTGAGGAAGATACTGTAAGTGAAATCGCAAAAGATTGTTTGAGGATAGCAGGAGTTCTTACCATCGATAGAGAAATTATTTAGAGTGTGCGTGTGTCCTTGTGACCTCTTGCCTGCCTCGGCTTCGGGCTGTCATGGTTTCTATCTCGATTCTGAAATAAGTTAAACAAAGTATTTTAGAGAAAATACAACATATGTAGCAACTTATTCATTCTCTTTTTAAGAGTAAGCATTTCACTCGTATTAACTTTATCGTGATGTGTGTAGATATGAATTTGGGCGTGTGCATGTTGACATGTACACGGGGGAACGTAATGTGCATGTTGACATGTACACGTGGCCGTTATGCGCATGTCGACATGTACGAGTGGCCGTTGAGTGCGTGTGGTAATGTGCGGGCGCGCTCACTTGTCAGCGGCGTCGTGCGTGCGCTCCATGAAGCGCGGCAGGCCGTCGTAGTCGGCCAGCGTGGTGGTGAGGTGGGGCGGCGAGGCGGGCGGCGACTTGTCCGCCTCCGCCCACTTCTTGTCGGCCTGGCTGACAGGCTTGGCGCGCGGCTTCCGCTGGATCTTGCGGTTCGCCGCCGATATTATCGACGAGACGATGTCGCGCGTCGATACGTCTTTGCCTGTGAGGCGGAAAGGGTTATCAGTATTATCAGTTTTCCTATTCTATCCATCTTGTTTCGATCGTAAATTGTAGACGATCTATCTTATCCTTCAAGCCGGATTTATAACATCTCGGTTTTTATGCGGAAAGGGCCAATTTAAATAGTTTCTTTCTTATTTGGTGTTAGATCCCTTATTTAAATTCCTCGGTCCTTTGAGTCGGATACATGGTACGAATTGGGTATTTTTTTTCATTTGTTTTTCTACACAGGCTTGTACCAAAACCAGCGCATTGCACTATTCGCACGCTTACCTTCGATCTTCTTGACGTTGTGTATGAGCAGGTCGCGCGAGGGTTGGGCGGCGGTGAGCGAGTCGCCGCCGCCGGCCGCCTCCACAGGCGGTTCGCCCGCGCTCTCTTCGAAGTACCAAGCATACTGCAAGTCAAAAAGATTGCATTCACATTTTGAAAAATTGTGTACATTGAAGGGCGTGGTTGCCAAGCTATTGGTTTCCCAGGAGGCCGTGAGTTATATCCCCATACGGGAAGAGTATTTATGTGGCTCAAAGATATTTGTTCCGGATCTGGATGTTTATTCCTAAGATAGAGGGTTGACGTCAGAGAATCGGTCGATAGTAAAAAATCCTAGCCAATACCATCAAAAACACGATTCACGTGTTGTGCTGTAAGGGTAGGAGAAAGTTAATTTGTTTCGCACCCGGATTATAAGATGAGGGACAGCAGAAAGGAAAGGTAGAAATAATTTGAAAAGTACGAGTATTAACGTCAATGACAAAAATTTATTACATAGTGTGTCTACTATTATTTAAGCAGTGCTCGTACATAATAAGGGAATGTAATTCATTTTAAAACCTCTGTAGGTACTCACGTGCGTGAGGAAGGACTCTATGATGCGGCACTGGCTGGACATGTCGTTGACCATCGCGAGCATGTCGTCGCTAGCCGCTCGCACGAGCGTCGGGCCGAACACGATGGCGAGGTTGCGCGCCTCCATCTTGTTGGCGGCCGAGTGGGCGACCACGCGGCGCAGGTGCTGCACCAGGTACTTGAGCGTCTCGTAGTGCGCTTCGGGCAGCGCGTGCACCAGGCGGCGCAGCTCGCGCGCCCTCTCCGGCGAACGGTCGGCCGCTGGCGGGAGGACGTTCGCGTTTAGAATTACCGATTTCCGGCGAATCTTGTCGCTGCTATTTCGGGCTTGTTATCGGACGGTTGTCCGTTCTAATTATTTATTATTTTATCTCTTAATAGTAAGTAGCAAAAACTCTGCTATTTTTTTTTTTATTATATCTAACAATCTTCGAGAGGATTAATAAAATATTTTTTTTTAAATTATATCTAACAATCATCGAGAGGGTTGATAAAATATTCGCTGCTACTGAAACGTATTTGTACAAAAGGAGTTGCAAATCTTAACAATTCTTCATTTTAGCCAGAAATAAACTCCGAAATATTTCTGCTCTGATATAATATTCTAATTGTCTGACCTAACCACTTGATAGCAATAATATGCCTAACAACATTACCGACTGAGGAGAATACATACAACAAGTGAGCTTAGATTAGAGGAACAGACCTAACAGAAAATCGCAAGCCAAGGAGATAGTTGAATTGGAGATGAATAAGGAAAGGACGGAATAGGGAGATAGAGGGAAATAGATAAACAAAAATGGAATAGGGATAATGTGGGAGATGGATAAGGAAAGGACGGAATAGGGAGATAGTGGGAAATAGATAAACAAAAATGGAATAGGGATAATGTGGGAGATGGATAAGGAAAGGACGGAATAGGGAGATAGTAGGAGATGGATGAGGAAATGACGGAACAGGGGCAGAGGTAAAGAGAGACGCGGTCAATTATGGCTCACCGATAAAGGCCGGGTAGAGGCGGTGCGTGAGCAGCGGGTCGGGCAGCCGGCGCAGGTAGGCCTTGAGCAGGCTGGAGGCGACATGCACGTCGGCCCAGCGCGGGTCGCCGGCCGGCGCGTTGCCGCGGTCCAGCGCCGCCGCGAGCGCCGCCACGCCGCCCGCGTTGCCCGGCACGCGGTACACGCCCACGGTGCGGAGCCCGTACGCCTGTGGCGCACGGGGAGGCAACTTTTAGCAAAGCTACTCCTTGCCGAATATGATAATTTCTCCTATTTACGCGATTACACATTTTAAATGAAACTATTTAATGGATTTATCACGTTTATTTTTACCATCTACAGCGTTCATGGTCACGGGACAGTGTGCCCAGTCGAAACGTTGGTAAAATTTTCCCTTAATAGAAGAATGGTAGAGATAGGTTGTGTTTTTTACTCAAAAACCAGCTAGTGATTGACTACTACCCGAAATAGTCTTAATTAGTAAAGGCACTAGTTCACTAACAGCCTATTCAATCTTGCCTGGAAGACATTAGCATTATAAACGCAGACAAACCATTCCGCTCCTCAGCTGGGTGGTTTATGGATTCTTGTTTTACGGGGCTGTCGAGAGATTAACTCACCTCAACGGCGGTGGCGGGCAGCGTGACCGCCAGCGGCACTCCCGGGTGCTCTGGGTCGGTGGGGCACCGCTCCAGGGGTGCTCCGAGCCAGCCGGTGACCGGGGGCGGAGCGCCCGGCGCGGTCGCCGTGCCGCCCTGCATCCGCCGCAGCTGCTTCGCCATCCGCCCCTTCCAAGTCTTGTTCTTGGGCGACGAAGGCAGAGTGGGCGTTGGCGGACCTGGATGCGATAGAGCGATACAGCGTTTCAATTCGTCCACGTGTAAGATTATTTATTTAGACTCGTTCGCCGCGTTCGTTCTCATTTCGAACAGATTCCACTTAATAATCGCTTCTCTGTTCAGTGAACAGTGTTATGTACTTTATTTGTACAAACATTTTTTTTGTGTCTGTGGAAATACTTGAAAAATTTAAGTAGTGGAAAAAGCAGTACAAAGTTCTTCAATATTACCATGAACTTTTGAAATCTTAGTGGAAATATAAAAGGATGTTAACTTAGGTATATTATTAGATCTTACGAGTAAATCTGAAATGCAGATCATCCTTTTAAAACTTTGTGATTACAATACGAAGGTATGATTGCTGGTATTGAATGTGTAATGATGAGAACATAGGGCATGTGTGTGGAGCAAATAGCACGTTGATTTATTAAGATTGACGTTTTAGATTGAGCGGTTATAGCGTGACTAGAACTATTGAGACGTAATGCGTACATCATTAGTAATTATATGCTGATGCGCGTGGCGTGATTAGCTTAATTTGGAAGACAACTTAGAGGCGACGGAAAAGAGACTGAATATTGTGCCGTTGTGGAATAATTTCTGAATTTCCCGAGCTATCTAGTCTACTACTTTATGCACGGCATGCATTTCCACCAGAACACAACAACCAACGTTTTTGGGTTGAGACAAGTAATTCATTATATGCTAGTAATTATTATAACTTACCGGTAGGCGATCTATTTCTTGTGATCTTCTTGCTGCGTTGCGGTGGCAGTGGCGACGGGCACTCAGGCTGCGGGGAGGTAGTGTTTGCGGGGGCGGGGGCGGGGGCTGAGGCTGGGGCAGTAGCGGCATTGGGGGATGCAGGGTTGGCGGGGGTGGGGGCGCTCGCGGCGGGTGAGGGGGCGAGGGCGGGAGCCGTCTCAGCTGGCGGCGGCTCGGCCGAGTGACGCCTCAAAGCCTCGAGCCAACGTTGCGCGTCAGCTGCACCCTCAGCCTGCAGAGAGACTAATATATACTCTGTGTTCTAATGAGATTAAAACCAATTGAATTGGAGCAGACCGGTTACATTGGTTTATTCTTTTGGCTTGATTTATGATGAGTTTTGTAAAAGAAGGGGATCTCATGAGACTTGGCTGCTTTCGATTTCGTTACAAGCCCTCTATATTTTCGGATTTGTGTAAAACGCGTTATGGCCAATTCGTGTATAGTGTCTGACAGGAAAACGAGTTTCATTTTATGGACGGCATAATCCGTGTTAAGGTAATGCCTTCTTTATTTCCATTGATGGCAAACGAACAACAAATTATTCTATGTGTTATATAAGGTGTTTGGTAAGGAGCAAGGCAAGCAGATCAGCTGGTAGGGTAGTTATTTCTTTTATGTGAAAAAATGGCAAACGAGCTGGCGGTTCACCTGATGTTAAGTGATAACCGCCACCCACGGACATTTGCAACACCGGTTGCAGATGTGTTGCCACCTTTTACTAATGTGGGCCCCGCTCCTCGCTACCTCGCTCACCATACGAAACGCAGAAGTGTAACACTTCTACTTTACGCCGGTATTCTTTGAGGTCGTGGTACTAACCCGGACGGAGGGACCTGCCCATTAGTGCAACCGCGAATGCCGTTGCGTGGTCCTACCACGTTTTCGTGTCTCTGTTTTTGTATATACACCGTATAGCGACCTGTAGCAATAGCTCTGCGCCGGCGGCGGTGGTCACGCGCACTACGTGCTTGCGCTTCGTGTAGTCGTCTGCGAGTGCGGCGAGCGAGTAGCGGACGTCGAGCGCATCTCTAGAGCCCCCCTCCGCGCCCGCGCCTCCCCCGTTAGCCGCGCCCGGGCTCTGCGGGAAAAAGAGGAAATGATCAATTATTGTTTGCCTCTCTGTCTAATTTAATTCTATCCATATTCCTATTTGTGAGAGAAGCAGATACTAGCAGGCAGAGCTAGTTATGATGACCAGCCGTCGTAGCAGCATCCTTGGAGTTGCAGTGGGCTGACGAGCTATAAGTGTGGGCCCGGTCACTTTACCAGATGCGACGAAAAAGTATGAACACTTTATGTCGATCTCCTATAAGGACGTTGAGTACCACTAGAAGTATCCAGCCAGCCCAGTTACGAAATTCTAATAAAGTGCTTACGTTAATGACCCTTGTTGGATAAAATGAATGATGTAAGCTGAAACTAGAATATGTACCAAGCAGTATAATACCATCAATCAATTGTTATAAAGTACTTAATACTCTCTGTTTATTATTCTCTGTCATTAACGGTATATTATCTTTACAAATATAAAATACGAGCGGGCCCAATAGGTGACATTTCGTAAAATCCGTTCTTAACTGACATCTACTCGGCGAAAGGAATATTCCTATCATATGCAAGTCTCTACGCCTTATGGTTCCAGAGATATCGTGATGAAATATATCGTATGAATTATCGGTGGAAATCTCTTATATACATAATATATATATAGGAAGAGAATATATACTTTGAAGATTATTATTCGAAATTTGATATTGCAGTGGTTTTAAGAACTATTTTTGATTCTGCGCGTGGCAGCTTTTACTGCAATGTTAATCTACCGCATTCTATTTTTGACATTACTGGGTCCCGTGTACACTATTTAGCTTTTAAAATATGACTGTACAAACCTGTACCTCCAATCGAACGATCGTAATTAGCACATAATATGTATCGGCTGAGGCGGTGTACAATCGTGTACATTCGGCTTTACCTATTGTTTACACAGGGCGGTTCTATTTCCGCGGGCGACCGAACGAACAATTATCGCTTTGCGGGCACGCGAACAGATATTATAAATCTTCGCGCGTTTTCCACGAGTTTCGAGTTCGGCACTGCGACAGGCCGTGATCTCTGCTAGGGTGGCCAACTGTCCATCATACATGAACAGACAATCCCAAATAGTCAAACGATCAAAGGGCAATTGGGCTTATTGATTTTCTTATACAGTGTAATGGTCTAGTGTAATGGTATGGTATAGCAGAAATGCGATAACCAAACAATTTGTTTTATTTATTAGAGATAACAATGTCAATTAATAGTAATCTATGGAAATTTTCAATTCGTTATCAGTTTTTGCAACCCTTTAGACGTTCCCACAGAAAACAGCAAATTTGGTCGACCTACTCGAAGCGGAATTTCTTTCGCTTTAAAAACTCTAGCCATTCGTCTCTTGAAACGGTGCCAAATCTTTGATTCGCCAACGCGGTAATTATTATTACAGTATTGGTATAAACGATGACATCGCTAACGGAAACGATAACGACGCCGGCTTGTTTCTGAATTATAGAAAATTTATTTTTTGTTTACAGGATGATACTAATTTGTCAAAATGACTCATCTCTTATTCGATATTTAGATATTCCTTTGGCGACATCCATCTTGCAAAAAAAGAAAAAAGAAAGAAAATACTTTTTATTTTGGTAACATCAAACAAACAACCGAATGTGAATATCGTAAAACAAATTGAAAGAGGTAATCTTAAACTCAAGCATAAGACAAACGTAATCTGTTCATTTAAAAGAGAAATAATATTTCAAAAAGCGAAGCGAAAGAGGTCGGTCGCGAAACAATCAGAGTGTGTAATCTCTGCTCTCCGAAAAAGGAAACATCGGAGCGAAAAAAAAAAAAGAAAACGATTGAGACCAGTTTGAAAAGAGAACTAGTTTGCCGCTTCGCCGAGAGCAATTTCACGGGCGTACCCTAAGACAATATACACGGACGGCTTCACGTTTTTCATCGGAATCGGAGAAGCGATAGCGGCCCGGCATCGGACGATGCTCGTGCGAACCGAATGGCTCACGGCATCGGAACAAAAACTCCGCGTTCGCTTTCACCCCTCCTCTCCCCCCTACCGCTCCTTCGACCACGCCGTACCCCACCCCTAATTACTGGCAGCGCCTTGAATTAGCCGTGAGTAATGGACATTGGCAGGATTATGTGGTTTGATTCCCCGGATGTCCATACCTGTCCGAGCGCTAGGGCGTTTTGATGGTAAGTTTAAACGAAAGTTCGTTTTAAAATATAAGTAGTTTTACTATTACACTCTACTTCGAGTTTAACGCACTCTACTTCGAACGAAGCTGATATCTTAATAATTGTGTATATAATAATAATAACCATAGGCGTATAGTCCTTCTTTCTAAGTCAAACTACAAAGTGTGAATCTCTCACTCTCAATCTCAACACTTTTTTTTTGCTATTTTTTAGGTTTATGTTATTTCTTTAGCGACAAACGTTTCCCCGACGCCCGTACCTAGCTGCCGACCCCTAGGGAAGTGTAGACGACTGCGTGTGTGTTACAGCTGAGCGATTAGGACTGATGTCAAGTACTAAGTCTCGTGTTAACTTGTGTCCGCACGACAAGGCTAAGTATTTCGAAGCTCTGTTACCCGGTATTCCTTAATCTGACCACAGTTTACTAGAGCGCCTTACGGTTTGCGAAATACGACAAAAAATATTAACAGCTTGACTGGCGTTTATACAACGACACTCGAAATGATGGCACGTTAAGTGTTTTATCCCGCAATCGTTTTGAACCGGCGACAATTTTGATTGTTTCCTTCAAAACGGTCAATCGTAATAGTTTTCGTGAGAGATTCGGTTCCGAAGTATTGAATAGAAAACTCTTATCTTATCCGTAAGGCACAAAAATATTTTTCTTAGACCACGATAATCGAAAAAGTTATTTTAAGCTGTCCTGGGCTAACTATGACTGACATAAGAAAATAAAACATGAAGCTAAAAGCCTGTCCTGGTGAAATCCGTATAATAGTTTTCATTTGGATTTCGTTTTAAATTAACAAGCGTGTGTTTATATTCGCATATAATTTTTTTTTAATCAAAGGTAAGGTTTAAGTTGGTATTAGTTACACACAGGTCTTTCAGAACTGGTTTACTAGTGCATAATGGAGATGGAGAATATGCAAATTAAGTTTAAAGTTTTGATAAGATAACAATTTATTAAAACAAGCGTAGTGCGAATTTATGCGCTCCTATGCCGATACCATTTTGGACAGATCGATTAAGAGAAAGGAGTTGGTCAAGTGCGGCCTGTTTGTTGAGATCGCAAAATTGATTGTGCTCGCGATGAATCACCCACAGACTTACACCATTTTCATAAGAACACTACGTTTACAGAATTGAACAAGTTTCTGTGAATTTCAATGTTCTTCAGCTGTAGGATTTGATCTAAAGGTTTTTCTGTACACAGCCTCAGTAATGTGCATGTAATAACTGCGAGCACGGAACTGAATCCATTACATATAATTATTTTTAGTTGGTAAAAAACAAAAGCAACGGTTGCTGAAATGGATCGGTTAAGCATAAACAATACAAAGCAGTGCGCAGTAAAAATCGCTCCGTGAAATGACCTATAAGATTAGTCGAATGTCAAGGCTGCGGGTGGAAAGGACAACAGACTGTGAAAGTTTAGCATCACGAAGGTCGCGTTTGCATAACCGATGGTAATTTAAAATAGGCGAGTATTTCAAGCATGACTGAATCCGCTCTTTATACTATATCCTGATCTTAATATAACATAAAGTAGACCGCCAGCTCCTTTACCACATTCTCACAGCGACGGACATACGGACGGCGGAAAAAAACACTGTGAGTTGTAGTTCTTAGCAGACATGGTTTCTATTGATATTTCATCTTGTGTATTCTCGGCAAGACAAGGAAAACGTTAGCGGTGCGACGTGCGGTGTGTGGATGGAAAACGAAAAGCACATAGACATCGAACAATCGCAACAATTTGCGGGAATTGTGGCGTCCTGTTAACGGCCGCGATCGCCTCCCACGCCGCCGTGTACAAATTGACGCCTTAGTATGCTTCGTTTAGGCTTCGTTAGCGCGTGCGCGTGCGCGTGTTAGCCGCGCGTCTATTGGGTTAGTGGCCCACGTCGGCAATTAGTGGTTTCGTCGAGTTTTACCTTATCGCCGTTTTCAAACGATCCGGCCCGCCCGAAGCGACGCGACGGGCCACTTTTTTAATTGAGCGAAGCGACGGAGTCTCTCGTGGCTATAGATTGGTCCGGGCCGTGGTCCTACTTCGGCTTAACCATTTTAAACCTATCCTAGTTGAGAGATTCAATTTGTGACGTAGCAGACGCGCGATGGTTTCAGCTTCTCTGTGAGCGAAGTTTTTCATTTTTGCCTTCTTTATACACCAATATTGTTATTACATCCCTCGAATTTACCAACTTAGTAAAAATATAATGTATATATTAATGATAATAACCCCTGAGAATGAGTTGATCGCTCCCAAGCTATTTCTAAGAGGAGTTTATTTCATCTATTTCTTCCACGAACTTCATCACGAAACGGTGGTAGATTAAAAAAAATCCTATCAATGGATGATGTATGTTTCATATTTTGATGAATAAATTATTTGATTTGATTTGATTTGACCGGTGAAATGTGAATTGCACCAATCGTTGCCAAAAAGTTCAATCTTCATATTAATTATTAAATGGGCATGCCTATTGAGACAGATTAAACACATTAATAAAACATACGATGGACGATTTATCCCATGAAAAACAAGTAATATTTCTTAAATCTCAGAGTTGGCTGCTTCGTTAAAGACATTTAACATGGTCGGCTCTATTGAAATCTACGCCCTGGTGGACTACAAAGCGGTAGGTTAACTAGTGCGGCCGGATAATTCAAAGTTCTAACGCACCATGAATATTCATATCGCCGGCCGTTGCAACGAAACAGAAACGCGTCGAAAGTGACCCGATGATACAGATACGCGACTTGGGGCATCGCGGCGGACGGTGATTTAGTGAGGAGACGGGAAAAAACCGGCCAAGATTTCTCGTATTTGTTTTTTTTTTTTTATGCGAAAAGTTGCCAAACGAGCAGACGGTTCACCTGATGGTAAGTGAATACCGCCGCCCACGGACACTTGCTACACCCGAGGGTCACAGATGCGTTGACAACCTTTTGAAAATTGGGCTCCGGCTACCTCACTCACCAGACGAAACGCGAAAGTATTTGTTTTACTTCCACTTTACGCTGGTCTTCTGTGAGGTCGTTTTACTTACCCGGACGGGCCTGCCCATTCGTGCAACAGCCGAGGCTGCTGCGTGGCCCTACCACCTGTTGTTATGGCGGCAACAGAAAGACGTCATCTGTGTATCTTTCAGCTGTCTAACCACGGTTCATGAGATACAGCCTGGTGACGGACGTACGGATAGGCAGACAGCGGAGTCTTATTAATAGGGTCCCGTTTTAACCTTTGGGTACGGAACCCTAAATTCGACCACTACGAACGGACGCGTGCTTTTCGGTGGCGTTTATTAACATCTCGTGATTCGATAGCATCTCGGACACCGAGCCCGATTTTATTGTGCGCGAGAAAACGTTCGTGCTTTCAAACAGTCTCCGAAATTACTCTGTCGTGGATAAGAACCTCATTCCATCTGACACACTTTCCTTAAAAACGTACCGAGTAGCGTGCGTAAATCGGAACGGATTTGAATTTTATTCATATAACAGATTAAGATTAGATTTTTAATCTATCCAAATAGCGATTTTTATTGTCCGAAATATTGTTTGAGGTATGAATTACTACTGAATACTGCAAAGACATATGAAATTAAAACTTCAATTGCTGATGCGGTATACATATTTATTGAATATAAAATCTCCTGATATTAATTTTGAGAGTTCTCGTTGAATCGTTTACCGTCATCGAATCATTCGCAATTAACATTTCTAACCCTGTGTAAAGGGGAGCCCAGCAGGGAAACATTGTTGTATTATATTATTGTAGGCTGTTGTTTCCTTACTGGACTATTGTTTTCGTACCTGGCAAGTTATTGTATTTCCATACTATCAGACGGCTACTAATGAATTAGGCGTCTTAAGCAAAAGCCGCTATGTACTCAGGTCACCGTCCTCTGCTTTGGAAACCATCCAGCAACGTCAACGTTCGAAAGCAACACCTAAATTACTAAGCCTACCTCTATTAATTTGTTCGCATGAAGACATTTGTCAGTGCTACGAAATTCTTTGTGATATTTATTGTTATACTGTGGGAAAGATTCATTTAATACGATCTATAGTTTATGCGTAAGATATTGGTTGAGATATAAACGTGTTGTATACGTTAACGTTGCACCTTGGCGTGGTGCGACGGACGCCGCCGAATCTAAGCCAAGGGAATAACGAGACAGGTCGAATCCGTGCGAAGAGCGTACAAAGAACCTTTCACAATAGACATCTGACATTGGAGTCGTAAATAATGGAAGATTAACGGCGCTAGGAGCGTCCATAGTGTCACTTTACTACATAGTATAAAACAAAGTCATCCCGCTGTCTGTCTGTACCTTTGTATGCTTAGATCTTTAAAACTACGCAACAGATCTTGATGCTGTTTTTTTTACTAGATAGAGTGATTCAAGAATAGGAAGGTTTATATGAATGATACATACATATATTGTACCCGTGCAAAGACGGGGCGGGTCGCTAGTTTATTTATATTCTTTTACCTCCCGTTTCCACTGTCAGTGTTTCTCTATCACGCCTTGTCGTATGTTTACACGAGAGCATCACTCGTATGGAATCCTCCACGATCTGTTACGACCGCGGCTCAATGATAAATAAAATAATTATTTTCAGTAAACAAAGCGGTATGTGAAGTGAAGTGTTTTTCAATGACAATGACGGGCGCATTATGCGAAAATAACTAAAGTCGATTATGAAATTGAAAAACTATTTTTACGCAACTGGCCAGTACTTTTGGTCTCTCTATCCCACTTCCGTTATGGGAAGTAATGACGAATAAGATGATAAACGCATTGAAAATTTCTTACATCAAAAAAATCCGGCTGCACCACGGAAGCTTGCGTAGATCGTAATTAAATAAAAACGGCCAACATAAACCTGGAAGACGGCATCGGTACGTCGGCCGCGGCGTAAATAAAACAGACGCCCCGCAGGAATGAAAAAAAAAAAAACGTTACGAGATTAAACACGGGCGTCGGGGTACTCACCAATATATCCGCGTACCAGAGGGTCATGGCTTGGCCGGAGTCCATCATCGTCACGTGGTCATTGTCAACGCAAGGCATCGGTTAGATCGCGTCAACTGTTCACTCCAAACGCGATTGCTCACTATATTATATTTGACCACTGAACCGTCAACTGTCACACTAGCTCCTGTCGGTTTAGCTGCGGGCGGAAGGTTCGCGTTTATTTCACGTTTCGCATCACGCGTTTATTTCAATCGGATAACGCACACTGTTCGGGACGTCCGCTGTGTACGAGATCCGGTGGCGGAGTGATGGGAAGAGCGGCCGAGACGAGACGACAGACGCGCGCGCACGTCCGAAGGACTCTACCTAGACTGTGGCGGCCGGCGGAGAAAGCGCACGCGCAGACACCGCGCAGTCTGCCCGCGATGCGTTTTCGCGGCGGAAATCGACAGTCTTTTCCGGACGTAGACGCGGCCCAGCCCCCTCGTCTCGCTCCGTCGGACGCGCTTGTCTCTCTATTTTCCTCGAACTCCGATAGAAGCCGCTCAGCTCGCGGCCGCTTCGCCGAAACGCCGTCAGATTGAACGTTTCCGAAGATTTTCCGCTGATTGAACTAGTTTTGTACACTGTCACTTTTTCGACGTCGGCCAACGGACTGATTGCTTCCGTCTCACCGGCAAAGGAAAGCGATATGTTATGTAGGTTAGTGAAATATGCATCACCGAAAAAAAAATCATCAGTCTTTCCGTCTCATCGATATACTCGTACCATTCCTTAATGGAATGGTCTTTATAAAGTTGAAGGTTTATTCGCGGATGCAAAATTTCCTAGCGATTCCCGCGCTATTTCCTTTACAGCCAGTTATAAAGGAAACACTAAACATTCTTGATATATTAACTGTTCGTGTATTTATTTGTATTGTTTGGATACATAATCAACACATAAAAATTTGTTGATTACGTTCATATATTATACATCATAATCTCATTTGATTATACGGTGTATAACGCAATATGATATTTCCTAAAAATGTTATATCTGGGAATTGACTCCCGCCTCCGCTAGGGCGATAATCTTAGCCATGTGGCCTCATTCCAAATAAGTGAACTTCATAATTCTTCAAGACATCATCAAGATTTTTGTTTATATGCACTTATACATGACTTCAAGCTCGTTGAGAATTTGAAGCAAGTAATGCATTAAAGTCCAGTGCGTTAAGAGCTTCTAGTACGCGATCTACGTCAGAGAATAAGATAAAACTTTACAGTAAGTTGTTCACACACTACATGTCAAAAGTATCGTTTCGCTGAATGAACTTTGATAATAAGGGCGAAATGAAGATTAAACAAGTCGTTAAAACAGCGGCGACTTTAGAGGATGTGACGAAACAGTTTTTACGAGAGTGTGAGTCAACGAGGTATAACAACAATACAATTTGGCTACCTAAAAGAAAAAAAATCGCTCGTGACTCACTCAACTGCTTCTTGAATGATTAACGAACTGACTAGCCTGCGAGATAGGTTATCTTTCAAGTAGATGCATCTATTCTAAGTAAAATGTCCAAAAATATTTTTTTTTTATTTATTCTAAAAGTTCAATACTAAACTTAACTGAACTGGACGAACCCATTGTTAGCTATTGTTGTTAGCTAATGAATACGGCAAAATTTAAATTCATACAAAAAAGTTTGTCTCAAAAGACTACTATGTGGAACACAAGGAGGATAAATTACCAATATTATTAAGCATAACATTTCTTTACAATTACAACAGAACCGGTTAAATTGATAGATGTGTGTATATCATAATATCGAATAACTTTATACCAAACGTTAAATACTGTAGTACACTGCTCAAAACAGAATATTCTATTATAAAGTTATCGCGTCATCACTGTCAACGTCAGACTTAAAAAGATATTTGAAATAAGCACCTAAGCACTTTTTAGTGTTTTGTGTAATCGCACATTTGAATAATCAGTCGGAAATAAACTTAAATCTTAAATCACGAACAGAAAGCAACTTTCAAATAAAGAGCTATCAAGCGTTCGTTAGCATTTTTCAAGTGATCTTCAGATATCACGTTTGTTTACTGCGAAGTTTTATTGATGTAATATTTGCTTTTCTAGTTTACGTAACGTAACAGTTACGACGTTAAACATTAAATGGCGACGTTTTTGATTGAAAGCTTATGTCGTGACTAAGTGACGAATAAACAATGGACGCTCTGCCCCTTTCCGATGACTCAACTTCGACGTCTCGGTCGCTTTAATGGCACAAAGTAGCACTTGATTACAGATCACTTCGCGTACAGAGACAGGCATAGTGCAAATTACAAAAAATACTTACGTATTTAAATAAAATATATATTCAAAACGAATTGATAAACATTGTGTGTATAATATAATCGATCTTTGAACAAACTGAAATATATATTCTGTATTATTGTAATAGTTAAGTTAGTTTAATTTATTTTGTTTTTATCAACGAAAAATCAGCTGAGTGAAGTCTTACTTGTAAGGGTGTTTGTATTAAATTTATAAATGAAAAGACCACAACTTAGTGTAATAAATGCGTTGACATATAATATAAATGGATTTATAGAATAAATACAAAAATATAAGAAATAATCACAGAGTTAAAATGTTCGAGTTGTGCGAAGGAACACACTGTACAGTCTGTAGACACAATAATCTATGCCGTAATATTGGCAGAGAACCTTGCTATGATATTTGGTAATAACCGAGTCATACTTGCGCAACCTAATAGAAAGTTTCTTTGGTGCGTCTTGTCTAATAAGGGGTAGTTTAAGAGATAGTAGTAGATAAAAACGAAATAGATTACGACAAAACCTTTCAGATGTCGGAACAGAATTAGATTATGTTATGTAACCTACGTGGTCTACAATTAATGAATTATGTTCTTACGAATAATAAAAATTAAACGATACCCATAGTCTAGAAGACGATTTACTTGTGTTCCGAATTGAAAATTTGGTAGCAATACAAATTAATTAATATAAAAAATGGATAAATTATACGATCCTTATAGGTTAATTTGCCAATAGTTATTTAATATTTATTGTTTTTTACTGTATTATAAATGCATATACGAACGGCGATTTGTTGAAATGATCATGAGCATGGATCTCTGTGTATTACGTCAGGTGAAGACGTCATCGCGTATCGGGGTCAGATTGTTAATACATTTCTGTTTACAACCTATTTAAGCATATTTATGCGTACATCCGAAAGTAGATAAGCTAAAAGGAGCGCGTTATCGGTTCGGCGGGTTTTTTGTTGTAATCGGCTATAAGTAGATAAATTTAAAAAGCGGCCAACGGTGATTGTTTCGTTTTTGCGTTTATTCAGCTATAACGACGGCTTTGATCGCATTGAAAATATAATGGAGACATGGCGTATAATAACGGGACACCTGACGACGTTTTCCACAATATCATCGATAGCTCCAAACACAAATACCTTTTAAGTTTTGTTGGTTAACTTAATTTTATATTGCTAGACTCGCGTAAGGTGCACAGAAGGGCGGACAGATAAAAGATGTCCACTTTTTTGATCCCTTCCACAGCAATATATTTACGTATACGAACACGACTGTCATGGGCACAATTTACAGCGCCTTCGCTCAGTATAACACCATTTTGATAGATGAGTTTTTTTGTGAGAGAGTTTTCATTAGATTGAAAGCACTATACAAGTTAATGACATGACGCCAGTGCAATGTTGAAAATGAGGGAAATTTTCGATACCTTCTTAGTATAAAAAAAGTTAGTTCTTATCTGGACAAGTCTAGTTTAGTGAATCGGTGGTAGTTTTTGACGTTTAATAAGAGGTTAAAATAAGCCTATATTGAATAAAGAAATTTTGACTTGACTTGACTATCATTGATAATCACTGATATCGAGGGTAAATAACTTTATTGTCTGTATGTCGTTCATGCAGATTATAAAATAAGATTTACTTATCGATATGCCTTGAAGATAAATAAAGCTATAAAATCGAACCATTCAATGGGCCCATACATTTATTTTAAAAGAAACAATTTTCGTATACTGGCTCCAATCTTTTTCCCACAGCTTCAAATTGATGACGGCAAAGAACACGAAACGGAATTATAAGAAATGTACATTTGAAAGTATTTATATAAATCGATGTATGACCAATAATGAGATTATATAAAGAAAGAGACAAAAAAAAGCTGTTTGGCTTCAACTGTGACTGTACAAAGTCATGTAAAAGTTTTTTGTGCGAATTAGGTTATTGGGTCGCTAACGGTTTTGGCTTTTTGCCATGAAGCAACTTTATTGCTAAGCCTAGATTTCAATGGGTTCTTAGAGAATGTTACGAGAGCCCTTCAAAGTTATGGTATGCTGATCAAGTTATCAGCACAGAGAGCATGAAACGTTTATATAAGGGACCGCCTTCATTCTGATGCGATTAAAGATTTCTATAAAAACATTTTGTCACTAATGCGTCCTTTTGCGTTCTAATTACAACGTAATTAATTATTTTTAATACAATTCGCAACATAGGAATAAAATATAGGAATACAATTTCACACACAAATTATTTTAAGGCTTTGAACCTAAGTAGTTTTAATTACGTTTCACACGAGTGTTAAACTAAATGAGGATAAGTTTTTCGTTAAAAATTTGGGAGAGTGAATTTTGAAAATGTAGCGCATCGAAAAGTCGTCGGCGATCGCGACGGGATTGCTACACTTTTTCTAGAACATTGAGCTTCAAATCCGCAAACAACTACTGTTTGCATTGATTCGGGATATCCCCTGCTGAATCTGGTTTTCCCATATCCACCCCTATTGGCTTCTGGGAAAAAAACCCTTTTCTTTCTGGTGGCATGGTTAGGGTATGCCAGTGGTCTTTAATGTTTAATGCGTGACGCACGGGCGAACATGTAATAACAGCTGATATGATATACAAAGATGCCTCTTTAATGGGATTTTAAATTACCTTAGTAGCTCAGCGTCTGAAGAACTATAAAGAAAAACAGATGTTATGAAAATGTTTTGAAGATATTTGATGTTAGATATGATTATCCCTTTGTCATATTCCCTATATGAAGCAGACCTTTGTCAGTGGGATATGCACATAGGCTGGTACTTTGCCCTCGAAGGTGTCGAGTGCTTTTCATCACCTTAATGGGCAGCGGAGCGTATCCTTACGTTTTACAAGGGACCGATTGCGCGGTAATTGTAGACTCTACTCTTCCGCCCGGTCGCTCACAAATACGCGGGAAATAGGGTTCGCCCCGAGTCCCATATCCGTCTGTCTAAGCCGCAGTATGGACGGTTGCGCACAACCGTAGTAGGTACAGAACTTTGAATCGCGATGGGGCTGCCAGTGGTAAAAAAAAGTTCAAATCTCTTCGAATTAGCATTAATACGATACGAATTATCAATGGTATTTGTTGAATTATTAAATGTAAATGTTTCGAGGAAAGCAAAAACTTTGGATCCCTGTTTATGATTATTGCATTTGATTATTTATTGGGCGAAGAAGTGCAGAGAGTTAAAATTTATGTACAATATATTTTACAAAACAAA